TATATGTGCCCTCTGAAGGGTTTTTTGAGGTCAGACAGGACAGGGGCAACGCACAGGGACAGAGCAGGCATAGAATAGGAGCACTTTTTGTTGAATATTCTGTATCTGATTGTAAAGATAAATTAAATACAGATGTTAAACTTGGAAAAAATCTTTGTCCTGTTTTCTGCATCAACTAAGACACGTCCGTCAAGGATATTTTTGACAACACGCCCTATTCAAATGAAAGGCTTGTGCTCAGTAGCGCATGGGACATAAGAGAGGGAATTAAAGTGTGGATTTAAAGAAAACTGAAGGATTTAAGAAGAAAAAAAGTACAGGATGACAAGGAACTCTAAAATCCCCACAAAATCCGATCTTTATGAAAGCGGTAGGTTCTCTGTCAGCTAAGGTTGAGCTGTTTTAGAGCTACTTCAATATAGCTTTCTGATTGGCAGAGACTGGTTACTGTGGCTGAACGTAAAGAAATATCGCACAGTACAGAGTAGGATTAAATGTCTGGCTCCTGTCTTTGTATTAATTGTGTGTAAAATGCAAAATGTAAAATCCCAAAGTAAGTGTCCAATATGTGTCTAATATTCAGTTTACATCTTTTGAAACATCTGTGACGCACCTTTTCGCCAGTCAAACCGGTGACGTGAGAAAATCGGTCTAAGCTTTCACATCACCTATAATTTTATATTTTATTTTTTCAAACATTTAAAAAACAACACACAAATTGAAATATATTCCATTTAAATCCACACTGTTCCTTTTTTTCTACTGTGCTTATTTAAATGTTGAATTTATGTTTTCTTTGTTGGCTCCACCCCCTTTAACCTCTTAACAACCGCCTCATTTTGGCTCGTGCACAATGGTTGGGCATACCCAAATGTCTTTGCTTATTTAAAAACACATCTTATATCTCACATGCTTGTGTGATGCATCATTTTAAAGCTAGAGCCTTCTAGTTTATGTAAAAAAACACTAAAATAATGTTTGTCATTCCTATTTTCCTCTGCATCCTTTGAAGTTAGGGAAAAAAACCCAATTTTTTTAGCCTCGCCTAACATTTTCAATTTCTAAAGGCCCTAAAAAAGGCATACTTCATTGTAAGTTCACAATATTCAAACCCTCTGTTCATTGTGTTGTTGACAACAACTGTCTAAAGTTTCAGACTTGTAAGTTTTATAGTTTTTATGCAGTTTCTCCTTTTCATCAAGTAGTGCACATTTGGCACAATTTGGCACAAGTGTGCCAAATTGTGCCAAATATCTTTACTTACATTTAATCATCATAAAAACAATATTTTTCATTATTGGTACTTAGTTACTAATCTATGTGTGTTTTTCTTTTTTAAATGTCAAAGTTATTTTTTTATGAGTGTAAATTCATTGCAGCTTCGAGAGCGTCTTTTGGCTTCCATTACGCACAATTGTCCAGGCACAACATAAGACAGGACACCATTGTCCCACCCCTTGTTCGAAAGCTTTCCTCATTGGCTACAAGGACATGTCAATCGTAAATCCCGGAAGTAAAAGCTATTGCCAGAGGTGTGGACTCGAGTCATGTGACTTGGACTCGAGTCAGACTCGAGTCATGATTTTGATTACTTTAGACTCGACTTGACCAAATATAAAAAGACTTGCAACTCGACTTGGACTTTAACATCAATGACTCTGACTTTCACTTGGACTTGCGCCAATTGACTTGTAAAGACTTGCGTAACCCGGGCCATTTTTACCTTTCTCCGCATCTCTCTTTCTATCTATGCCGTCTCTGAAGAAACAAAGCCTCGCGGTAGTTGTAGCGCTCGCGAGAGTTCGAACGTGAGTTCCAGGCAGTTCGCGCGGCAACACTTCCCTAAACAAGCGCACTGCATTCACCGGTGGGTGTGTTGTCTAGGGAAGCTGGAAATGAGCGAGCTGCAGGTATTTATCGCGACCTAACGTCATACTTTGTTCTACAAACCGTAATTGATATGCTTTCACTACAGGCGCCTCATACAATTGAATCGACGCAGTTGTCACACTGTGTGCCGTGTTTTAAAGAGGAACTGGTGAGTCAAACTAGCGCTAGCCTGCGCTGCTCTGTTGGCTCTTTCTTATATTTTTCTGTGTGGGCGCCGAGGCCTATTATTATGAGTATGTTTTTGCTGTGCTCCTCCTGCTAAAGTTTGCATACATTAGATAGTTGTTTTGATTATGTGCACTAAGCTAGATTAATATTTGCACTATTGTTTATGGTGCATTGATATGAGAATCAGTGCTTTGACTGATTGAATTAATTTATATGAGACATTTTATTATGTAATGATATATTGGTAATTATGAGATATTGCTAATGCTGGTCCAGTTGATGGCGAGCTGCCCCAGGTCCAAAGCCTAGACCCCTCATACTACCCCTATTCTACAGTAGGACATTTGGAACAATAACCACTACGGACATTAAACTGATTATATAGATACAGGTCCTAGCCCAATACTCATATTCATATATGCTGCACTTGCTACTTCCCATTAAAAACCCCAAAGATAAAAAGTATGTTGACACGGACTGCTCTGATTTTATGTGTGGTCTGTGCATGTGTAACTGAGCCTGCATCTGGCACAACATCCAATTAGATCACGTAGATAGTTTTGATTTATCAGCAGCCAACGACATGGAACAAACTGTTAGTCCATGGGTCAGAGACCAACGAGAATGCACCAGCAAAATGATTCCTAACATTATTTTGTTTGCCTACAAAAGTACGTGGAGACCAATGAAGAAGATGACATAGTCTGGGATCGCGTCTTAAATTCAGACAGAAGACATGTTTTATTGTCGATGGTAGACACAGCACGAACAAAGCACACGATCACAGAAACAATAGAATGCAAGTGTATTATACAGAGCAGAGGCATGGAGTCCTCCAATCAGCAGCTTCCACGGTGTGCTTGTAGCTTGGCCTTCAGATAGACAAAACAAGGGAAAAGTACTGGCTTCTGCACATTGATAGAATGATGAGTTTAACTTTAACAAAAGTTGCTTCAAAGTGTTATGAAATCTCACATTCCCCCCTCTGGTCATACATTCACGTGTGACCATCAGGATCGATAAACAGCAACATAACATCATAACTCAATACTTCAAAAACTCATAAACTCGGTACTTCACTCGGTACTTCAAAAAACTCAGAACTCGGAATACTTCAAAAACTCATAAAACATGTTCAGATCTTTCATAAAACTTGTCAACAATCTTCAGTAAAATACCAAACTTCATCAGTCGATGTGGTTCCAGATATTGCTTTGAAAACAGTCTCTCCCACTTCTCTGTGTTGATTTCTTCAGGCTGCATTTGTGCCGAGCCATGATTCTTCTGTGACGTGTCTTTCAATCACACGTTTCAGCTTCAGTGTCCAGATTCAGCAATTCAATTCAGTCCAAATTATGTCCAAATTCAGAAATCCAGATTGTTCCAAAATATGTCCTTGCAAAAGAGGACGCTGGTGTTGTCCATGTCTCAGCAGCTCACAGCCTGACTGGAATCAGGGGCTGTGCAGATTGTCCATGTGCTGATCCAGATGCATTGTTTCTCTTGAGGTTTTTCAGTTTTGGCTTTAAAAAAAAACACTTTTTGTGTAAAAAAAAAAGTAGTCTTCTGTTCTCTAGATGTTACAGACAATGCCCGCATCCTCCACCACCTGAAGAAGATGACATAGTCTGGGATCGCGTCTTAAATTCAGACAGAAGACATGTTTTATTGTCGATGGTAGACACAGCACGAACAAAGCACACGATCACAGAAACAATAGAATGCAAGTGTATTATACAGAGCAGAGGCATGGAGTCCTCCAATCAGCAGCTTCCACGGTGTGCTTGTAGCTTGGCCTTCAGATAGACAAAACAAGGGAAAAGTACTGGCTTCTGCACATTGATAGAATGATGAGTTTAACTTTAACAAAAGTTGCTTCAAAGTGTTATGAAATCTCACACCAACAAGAAACAAATCGCGGTCAAAAAGACTCGAGAGGACTCGAAAGTCAAACCGTAGGACTTGGGACTGCCTTGAGATTTGTTGGCCTTTGACTTGGACTCGACTCGAGACTTGCCTGTCTTGACTCGTGACTTGACTCGGGACTTGAGGGCAATGAATTGAGACTGACTTGTGACTTGCTAAACAATGACTTTGTCCCACCTCTGGCTATTGCAGACCCAAAAATTGGTCTAGCTTTTCGGGAGTAGTCTCATTTGAAAGATAAGGAGCTAAGGAACACGTAGATACCAGATGTTTGGGTGAAAAACAAAGCTAAAAGTCCGTTAAAAGTGAAAGAGTAACATCTGTGCTTTTTTTTTTCGTTTTTTTCGCTAAAGATAAATGCACATTTTTGGATTATTTCTGCAGAATGGATTTTACTTTGGGAAATACAAGTGGATATAATTTTCCTTTGGACTGTTCCAGAGAGAATGATGTACTGCAAGCTGGGAGGAGAGCTGATTTATTTGTACAGCACAAGCCCAAAGGTAAAAAACTATTTCGGAATTGATTTATTTTGGGCCCACATTATGTGTTATATCTTTTGAATGCAAAGTCTGATGTAGTTTACACTTGTATATAAATGTAGATAAGAAAATAAGCTTTAAAATGATATACAGCTTTTGGGGTTTGGTGTTCAAAATACATCTGCTATTGCCAGCAGAACATTTAAAAACATAAAAACGGCCGCCGGCGCGCCGGTTGTTGCAAAGTGGTTAAAGGGTTTTACAATAAAGCATTAAAGTTTTACTTTAAAGTGAAAAAAAAACAATGTACCAGTTAAATTTTCCCTCAAAAAAGTGGAAACAAGTGTGAAAATAGCACGGAGTTTGGTTTGTGCTGGTGCTTGATCAGAAGGGGTTAAGGGTTCATGAAGAAGAAGTTTGGATGTGTCACGTGTCTGAAAGCACGTGACCTGTTATGGATAGAGACCGCGGAAGTGAAGAGAAGTGCATTCACGGCGCTGTTATAACACCTTGCTGTAACCACATGCTGTAGACATGGCTGTAGACATGGCTGTAGACCTGTCCCGGGACTTCCTCTGGCTCTGCGCCTTGCACCTGTGCGCGCTGCTCCATGGCGGACACACACAGGAGGCTGGGGGCATGCTGTACCCCCGGGAGTCTGCCTCCAGAGAGCGGAAAGAGCTGAGCGGACTGTGGAGCTTCAGGGCGGACCCTTCTGCTAACAGGAACGAAGGCTTTGACAGGGCATGGTACAAAAGTCCACTGGCCACTGTGAGTAGCGTTTGTTTGTTTACTTTGACTGGGATATCATGGTGATGTTGGGAATAGAGATTACGCCTTATTATTATAGATCCATGGTCAAAACACGAGCCCTCATGGGTCACCTACAGATAAACAGATTTGGTGCTCAATTTATGATCTCTTTGCAGTTAAATCTTGGGCACCTATTTTTTCCCCCATAAATGACAATAAAGTAAAGTATTTTGTAAAAGTTAAATTATTCGGGAATAAAGCTTGTTGTTGTCTGATTTTTATTCCCAAATAAAAGACATGTTAAAAGACATGTTATCTTTTGCATACTTGTAAGAGCCCTGATAAAGTTACTATATCTTAGCGGGTGATTGGAGAGAGGGCGGTCCTCTCTTTCATATCTGAAAAAAGTCACCTAGTGACTCTTAGTTTTTATAAATTGGTTCCATTTGTTCTAGTGTGAAAGTTTGGTGCTATAAGTTAACTTATATAACTGGCCAGCGTTATTTTTTGTTAATATTGGCAAAATAAAATGTTTTATGAATGCATTCACTAGGCTTGAGATTGGCCTCCCTAGCTTCGAAGCAGAAAAGGCTTTTCTTAGACTGCTGGGCTGAGTTATGCTTTTTTTTTTTTTTGAGACAAACATCTATAACTGTGTTATGATTGCTTTTGTTTAGACTGGTCCTGTTCTTGAAATGCCAGTTCCCTCCAGCTACAATGACATAACCCAGGACCCTATGTTAAGGGACTTCATAGGCTGGGTATGGTATGAACGAGAAGTGGTGGTGCCTTCACGCTGGATCCAAGACGCAGGAACAAGAGTGGTTCTCCGAGTTGGAAGTGCTCATTATTATTCAGTTGTGGTCAGTACTGCACTCTTTCAGCCTAAAAAACAGTTGTAAAGAGGATGAGGCTATTGGCTCCTTCTGTGCTCTTGCTTTATTGGCAGTGGGTGAATGGAGTCCAGGTTGCAGAACATGAAGGTGGACATCTCCCCTTTGAGGCCGATATTGGGGGAGTGATCCGCAAAGACCCGGCTGTGACCTGCAGGATCACCATAGCTGTGAATAACACTCTGACACTCACAAGTCTCCCTCCAGGAACTATCACACACATGAGTGACAGCACCAAGTAAGATTTGAGTACAATCATCAGCAAAATATAAGTATAATGTTTAATTCTTTCATCCTCAAAACAGATATCCTACTGGGTATTTTGTCCAGAATTTCCAGTTTGACTTCTTCAATTATGCTGGACTTCACCGTCCTGTGCTGCTCTACACCACTCCCAAGATTTATGTGGACGACATCACTGTTGTGACAGACATTTCAGACAACATTGGTAATTAAAATTGAAAACTGTCCTTCCACAATTATGGGTGATTTTAGTGCTTACAAAACTTTTTAGAGGGAGAAGAGCATTAATATAAATTGTAACTTAGCCTAGTGCTTCTTTCCAATGTAAATGGAACTCTCAAAATATCCAGGCAAAACGACAACATTTAGATAAACCAATTACCGAGTTTAGGAATGCACCTATTTAAAGTTCTGACTTAGTTGCACTTCACAAAACGTGCAGTGGTCTGAAAAAGATTTGACCGACTCATTCAGAATAATGCACCAAACCCTGCTTCAAATGCTACTTCTCAAGCATAAATGTATCACCAAAATGAAAATTCTGAACATATCTTTTAGCCTTTTTTTTGTTTTTTTTTTTCTTTAAAGGTTTGGTTAAATACAAGGTATCTGTTATGGGTGCTACTACAGCTAACATGAAAGTCACACTAATGGACAAATATGGTCACTGTGTCGCCACCTCCAATGGGTCCTCTGGTGTGCTCAAAGTGATCAACGTCAATTTGTGGTGGCCATACCTGATGCATGATAATCCTGGTTACTTATATTCTATGGAGGTATTTATAAAACATTTACGTGAAAAACCACTAGAAGCATATAACATGAATTTCTTTTTTTAGGTCCATTTATCAGCATCAGATGGACAGTTGACTTTTGAGGATGTGTACGCGTTACCTGTTGGCATCCGCACAGTGAATGTCACCAGTACACAATTCCTCATAAACAACAAGCCTTTTTACTTCCATGGAGTCAACAAGCATGAGGATGCTGATGTAAGTACCACTAGGGGGAGACAACACACTGCCTTTGTGATCACTTTACAGGTGGAACGGTGACTACAAGTGTCTATATAAACTAGGTGTTGCTAATATGCCTGCATCTTGAACACATTAGAAACTGGCAACCCAAATGAGACTCATTCTACTTTCTGAATGTTCTTAACTTTTTCTGTGTTGCAGTTACGAGGAAAAGGCTTGGACTGGGCCCTCATTGTCAAAGACTTTAATTTGATAAAGTGGTTAGGTGCTAATTCATTCCGCACCAGCCACTACCCATATGCTGAGGAGATCATGCAGATGTGTGACCGCCATGGCATCGTGGTCATAGATGAGTGTCCCGGAGTAGGCATCAAAGACATGTAAGTAACAGTTCCTGCCAGTATCTGCCCACATAGAGTCTGAGTGGGTTTAGTGCTGCCACTCTGGTTCTTCCATCAAGCCAAGACGGGAGAAATCCTGTATCTCCATAGTCCAGTCCAAGTCGATCGTCAACACTGCTTCATGTAGTTATATATGGAGCAGTAATATATCAATAATAATAATGCATACGTCCTTGGTGAATGCATTTTATACTTGTATTCTTCATTTCAATTATTAGTGGTCAGTGAGGAATGAAATGCCAATATCAGTCACCCATTTTATCAAAGTGGGTGAAATGCTCTACTAGTCATAACTTTGCCTTTTGAGACGCTTCCATCTCATCGCTTATATTACAACTTAGGGGCTACACATGTGAAAGTGCACTCATTGCTATAACCCTGCAAAAATACGACCAACCCCCCCCCCCCCCCCCCCCCCCCCCATGCACTTCCCTATGTACCAACTTATCAATTATTTATGTGTGCTTGCGTAATTTTATGGTCCAGTCGAAGTTTTGGAAATGCCTCTCTGGCCCATCACCTGTCTGTTATGGACGAGCTGGTGCAGCGAGACAAAAACCACCCGTCTGTGGTCATGTGGTCTGTGGCCAACGAGCCTGCTGCAGAGATGGCTCCTGCTGACTATTATTTCAGGTGAGTCTGCTGCACTGATTCTATCTACCATTATTCCCACACTTTCATCTCTTTAATAATATATTCATCTTGACTAAAAGCTTGGGAGATATTCAAAGTCTTGCTTAAAAGCCAGAATGAGGAGTGTTAACTTGACATTGGCCTTTCCCTGTTCTCACGTTTTGAGGAATGCAGTTTGAGTTTTCCCAAAGCTGCCTGGGCACCACCACTGGAGCAGCACAACTTGTCCTACTGGTTCTAAAAGTTCAAGAAACTCAAATAAAATCTTTTACTTTTAGCCTGGTTTACTAGAAAGACCATGGAAGGAAATTTTTCAATGAACTTTGATGTCTGAGGAAGACTGGAAATGAAACAAAAAAAATGACAATACATTTTATTATTATAGTTAAATGTAAAATCACAAAAAAGATTTGAAACATTTGTTTTAAATGTATTTTATGCATCAAATTTTTTTTGGCAGCAAAAGAAAGTCAGAAATGTGTTTTGCAACAGTCCTGGGCAGGATTGGAATTCCACTTGTACTTGTCCTGAGGGAAATGTTGTTCTTAAATTCAGAATGTATTGGTTTCACTAAATTCTTATTGAAGTATTTAATTTTCTCTTGTTTATAGAACATTGATAAAGCACACCAAAACTTTGGATCAAACTCGTCCAGTTACTTTTATCACGGACAGTAACTTTGCCAGAGACAAAGGGGTTAGTCTGTTTTATATTTTTTTGAAGAATTCTATTAACAGTAAGTGATGTGTTTTTAAAAACCCCTAAAGCATGAACTAGACTTTTTTTTTTAGATTGTGCAGATGTGAGCTGAGCTTTACCTTGAATCAACTGCAGCTGAAGAATGTTTGTGTTGTGTTCAGGCTCCGTATGTGGATGTCATCTGTGTAAATAGCTACTTCTCCTGGTACCATGATCCAGGTCACATGGAGGTGATCCCCATCCAACTCAACACACAGTTTGAAAACTGGTTTGGGAAGTACAAGAAGCCTATCATACAGAGTGAATATGGAGCTGATGCCGTCCCGGGGCTTCACAGTGTAGGTCATGTTGTAATAAAAGTGCATTCCTCAGCTGTTCGAGGCCGCTTTCTTGGGTTTATCTAAATGTTGTTGTTGTTCCTGGATATTCATACAGTTTGTCATAAAATCTCCCTTTACATCGGGAATTAGCATGTGACTTCACTTCGCTAAGTTACAAGTTATATCTTTGGAAAGACGTGTTCACAGTGAATTATGTTTTGTAAAAGTATCCATAAATGAGGTGCATATTTTAATCCAAACTGGGGAAGAATTTAAATCAAAGCAATAAAATATCTATTGCAAAAAGCATGTATCAGACACTTTACAAACATCAGGTCACCACCAGGATAGTGGAGGAATGCATCTAAAGACAGGGGCCAACAGAATGTTGTGTAACTTATTCTATGTTACAGGATCCTCCTGTAATGTTCTCTGAAGAATACCAGAAGGACGTCCTGCAGCGTTACCACAACGTGTTTGATGAAAAGAGGAAACACTACGTGATCGGTGAACTCATCTGGAACTTTGCAGATTTCATGACTTCACAAGGTAGCTCTACCTTATGACGCAACCAAAGTTCTCCTTTTCCTTTTTTCTTTAAAACGTGATCGGAATCATCTTCGTCAAAATAAAGCTGTGTTTTTCACAGGTATCACTCGCGTTGTGGGAAATAAAAAGGGGATCTTCACCCGGCAGAGGCAGCCGAAATCAGCAGCCTTCCTCCTGAGGGAGAGGTACTGGAGACTGGCTAACACAACAGGAAAGATGCCTCCTTGGACCAGATACCCGTGTGAGCTCACAGATACAACCTAGGCTCGAGTCCACGAGACACAAGCCGAACTCTGCTCATAAGTGGGCGTGGCAAATGCTCTTTAAACATTTTGTGTCTTTAACCCAACTGTTCTTGCAAAACAAAATATTGAACTATATACATTGTTCAATTCTTTAGCCACTTGGATCCATAACTTTTCATTTGTGCAGTTTTCAAAAATAAATTCTTATAATTGTAATCAGCCGATTAAACGACTACCGGTAAACTAAAATTGACAGCCCTATCATATTCACTGTTCTGCCAGTTTCAATAACTGGTTTAAATGTTTCATTATAAATGTACATGTTTTATTTCTTTGACATAAAAGCTAAAAATTTAAAAATCATCTTTTAATCAGCAAGTTGTGGTTGCTAAGGTTGTTAGTAACGGTTACGTTTTCTGAAGTTACAACTGTGTCCACTTGTGTCTCAAATCTTATCTACACCTACAAAAGCAATGACTGTAAGTGTTTTGTTACTTGTTCATTTCTGTTAAGTGTTTATCTACCCATAGTTTGTAAGTTAACCCCATGCATTAGTTCTACTAGTTAGTTCAGTTGTATTTAATATAAACGGCTTATTAACCGAGCGCGAGGCCTGTTTGGAGAAATATCAGACCGTGGCCTTAATGTACAGACCGAGCCGTGGTGAGGTCTGTGCAAAAAGGCCAAGGTCTGATATTTCTCTGTACAGACCGAGCAAGCGAGGTTAATAAATGTTTTATTATATGACTCTCGTCTGTGTCTTTACCAATGCTTTTGAGATATTTGTGAAGTATGTTCATGTCCGACTTGGTTTTGTGCGATACGCGCTGTGGACCGATTGTCATGGTAACGGTCCGTGGAAAGATATCAAATGTGATACGCGCTGTTCGGACCAATTGTCATGGTAACGGTCCGAGATGGGAAAATATCAGAGTGCGCGTACGGTCCAAGTCATATAAGTATTTGTACAACACAAAGCTAAGTGTACATCATTTCTGTTTATTTTATAGTTTCACTCGAGCTTTTCACGAAATGTAACCTGTCTACAAGTCCTGTATTAAAGGAGCAGGACGCTCAGTGAAGACCGAGTTTGGCTTGCTGTTAATTTACGTTAACATACACCGCGTATCCAACACGTAGTGATAACAGTACATTCACATTAATATTTCACATTTGCAGATACATTAAACTCGATACATTCCAGATGCCTACTGTCCAACTCTTGTTGTAAATTACAGTTTGAAAAGAGTTTGTTTGAGGTCTGTGATTTTTATCCATTCATTGAGTCCAAGTACATTTATTTTTGTATATGAAGCAATAATAAAGTATTTTAATTAATATTTTGTAGTTTGTCTATATATTAAAACTAATATTTCCAGTGAACTGGTTAAGAGTCATGGCTTGAGGTGGCGTTATCACTGAGTGTGAAATCTGATACTTGTCACTTGAAAAGCTAATTTGCAAAAACGTTTGAAAGACTCACAATTTTCCCTTTACTTGAAAAGCCAGATTTATTTTAGTTCCATACAAATAAAGTTTCTCTTTCTTGACCAAATCCTTTCAAATTTATTTCTAATAACAAAACATGTTGTAGATTGTAGCCAGAGGGATACAACTATTACATGTGGTTTTTTTTTTTTTCAAAATGGGTGTTTTTGCAAAAACAAAAAGTTGTATAGAAAGAAACATTTGCCTTTGTATTAAGACTAATGTAGATAATTCATGCATAATGCAAATTTTATTGAAACTTGCTCACTTTTTTTTGGTAAAAGTCACATTTGGTTTACTTTTTCTACCTATGAATCACAATTTGATGCTTTGAGCTGATTGGCTGAGTTTGGGTGGTCCTCTATTTCTCTGGTTCCATTTTGTTTACTGGCAAAAGAACCATCCGAGAGCAGCGACGAGTTTGTGGTTTGAAAGTGTAGTCCTCAAGTTTAGCTTTTCTCTTTTTAATTGTGGCCTTTGTAGCGAGACAGCCTATGTACATATTTATATTTTGTAAGATCTCCCAGGAAGAAATTGAGCTTGAACTTATCAGTTTAGGATTTAGTAGGGATAGAACATGTTTATTGTCATAATAATTAAGAAATAATTTAAAACAGTTCATCAGATCACAAGAACAAGACCGACCGCACTTTCTGAACTTTTTTAGGCAATAATTTAAAAGAAAGCACATTTTATCCACATACAAGCCGCAACTGTAATGTTATGAAGCAGATAGACTGTTTTTAATGGTCACATGATTTAATGACGAGGTGTTTTACAGCTTAACTGTAGATTCCAGGTCATTCACCAGTTTATTTCAATAAGCAAAGGTCTTTACCAATTCAGCTGGTACAGTTTATATATAGTATATACTAAAAGTCCAGCGAGTATCTTTAACATAATTTTAGGGTCCATGTTGTTACGTGAGTGTACTTGTATTGACCCTAAAAACATTTAAGTGTGGTTCGTTTATTATACTCATCAATAACTAAAAGATGCCAGACTTTCAGAGGGAATGTTTTAATACTTCCATGTGATAATGACAATAAAACTGCCACCCCTTTACACTTTCCTTAAATCTGATGTGTCTATTCCTTAAGTTACGTAAGGAAAGCAACATTTTTCTCCATCTGGGTCAAATACAGCTTTGCTAAAACATTTGGCAATACAGAAGCAAACCAAGTAAAGTTGTTCTCCACAAAGAAATTTAATAAATGGTCTACACTGACACATGGATTCCAAGCCCTCCAAACTCGTGGTTTGTTTTCACTAAATTAACCCATCATTAACAGTCTAAACAGCTAAAGGGAATAATGATGAAAAAAGAACATTACAATCTTGATACTTGTACAGAGTGTATTCTTTGCTAACAAACATGTTCTAGCTAGTCAAACGTTAACAGCTGGGAAAAAGTGTCATGACTTATGACAGGGCATCTTGCAATTTTGAACTGGTTATACATTAAAATCACTTATTTGTTGGGAACGACAAAATCAGATTTGAGAAGGCAAGGGCCTGTTGTAGTAACCATTATTTTACAAGGCTATGCTGCTCTTTGGCTCAAGGCCTAGTGATCCACAGAAGGCACTTTTGTTGGCATTGGTGATGTAGTAATATGGCAGTTATACCTCAGGGCCGTAAGATGTTTAAGAAGTTTCAGTGCTCAACATTGATATTGTAAATACAGACAACAGTGATTCTTAAACCACAATCTTCAGACTCCCTTCTGTAATACAAGTGCGCACGTTCAGGTTGGACAGGCTCCGCAGACTTGTACAAACAAGTACACAAACTAATTTTTCACTAGTTTGTCTTATTTTCAGCAACAAAGCTGTTGGTAACAGATGTTCACGATGATCAGAAACAATAGTATACAAGATTGTAGCAATTATTTAAAGAATCAATGAATCTATCGATTATACTTTTGATTAGTTGATTAGAATGCAAATATAGGCCAACTCAATTTGACCCAGATAAAGCTGAAGTGAAGCCCCCGGACATCCTAATGATTATGCCATTTCTGCTTTGTTTGAGTCAGAAAAGCATGTCTCTCTCAGCACATACACGTTATGAAGTCTTGTAAGTTTAAGCTTATAGAGCAAATAGCGATGAATTGATTACTGAACATACTCAATTTGTTGCGACCAATCGTAACAGTCCTATTTGTAAGAATAACAATATTTTTCAGGCTCTGAGCCTTTGAGTGGTCCACAGCACCTTTTGGCCAGGATTCAAGTTCTCACGGTCGCCCACACATATACCGCAATTGTCTGATGATGAAAAATATTTCTTTCATTATTAGTCAATGTCAACAACATTCTTTATACATAAAAATTTGAAGATGATATATAATTAAAGGGTTTAATACAGTAAATGACAAAATTGAAAATGGAAAACTTGGATTGTTTGTGTTTGCACAAAAAATCCTAAATACTGTGGGCATTTGCCATGGCCAAGTCATTTTCCAATCCAATATGTGAAAAAACGTGCAGTTTATCAGTCATAGAAACCCATGAGGATACATTTCACACTACTGGATGTTTAGGACCTGCTAATTATTGTGTGCTGCTTGAGTTGATAACCAAGATCACTAACTTCTGAATTGACATCACATGTACACAAGCCCGGACAGTGACCAGCCAGATTGGAAAGAAATATTAGAGATGCCGCCGCCATTATGTCACTCTACCCCACCTACATCTTCAGACAATCACAGTGTAGCAGCCTTTGCTACCTTATATACTCCGCTAGGAAGAAGGGAACACTTCACTGGTACTGTCATTTAAATGGACACAAACTTAAAGCCGTGGACAAAAAGGAATAAAAAGTGTTCTCATGACATGCCTTCACCCACACCTGTGAAATAAAAATGACACACTGTATTTGACTCCGTTTAGGCACATAAGTCTTGGGTATCACATGTGAGGTGGTCAGGAATGGTTTCCACTTGGCCAAGTGTCAAAATCACAAATCTGTTCAGTGGCTCCAGCGACATCTAAGTTCTTTGCTACTGTTGTAAGTACTGTTGCGCATCCCTAGAATTTGTTATCTAACCATGGCCTGAAGTGCTTTTTGTTCCAGATTTAAACCTTTAAAACATCTGTGTCCAGACAAAAGTACAATCCAGGCTGGAATATTGCTCATTAGCTATTTACAGTAATGAAAAAAAAAACAACTAAATGATTTGCAGAAACCATATCACATTGTTGTTTAGTGGTCCTCCTCATACGAGTGTAAACATGGAAAAGCCTACTTTAAATGTTATTGGTTTTGTCCCCTAAAACCCTGCCACACATTTGCAAAACTGTTTCATAACCTATTGAGCTCCACAATAGGCTCTTGTCGATCTGCCCGTTCTCTTAGTGTAGACCCACTTTTCAGTGTTAGCATTTCAAGTGCTCCCCTTAATTACAACATCCCACTTTCTTCCATCTTGTGATTCTTTTTGTTCAGTGAGAGCGGTCCTCCGTTGCTCTTTTAATGTGCCTCTACTTTCTCGGGTTGATGATTCGACCACAACCACGCAGCCATTCCATCCACGAGTACGTTCAGCCATGGGAAAGGAAATTTAAAAAGACAGAATTCCTAAACTTTGTAATCCTTCAGCGTTTGCAATCAACATTGAGGTGTTAGGCCCAGTTAAATTTCTTCATTTTTTTTTTTTAACACAGAGCAGAATAAACATCAGTTGGAGGCGAGATCTCCTGGTGGCATGTCAAATGTTCAGAGGTCACATTTCTTTGTCTCAATTTATCCATTTTGTTTTTTGCAATTGTTCACAGCTTAGTCCTGCTTTGTCTGGAGCTGCTGCTTCCAGGCCTCATTTAAGTAAACTAGTCGCTTATAGTTGAGAATAAAGAGAATGATGTTTAGGGCATATGTAGTAATGCAGATGACACAGAAGTCCTTTAGGACAAAGTAGAGGATGTAGCCCAAGTAGAGCGAGCCCATCACCGACAGGATGGAGGTCGTCATGAGAAACAGGGCGGCCATAGCGCTCGCAGTTAGTCCTGTGGTAAAAAGAGACACGCAGTAGAGCTTAGGCAAAGAAGTGAGAGGCTTTTAAACACACAAGCAAATTGATGAGGCAGCTTTTCTCTGAGCCTCGGACAGTTCTCCTTTGTAGAAACCCTCCCTTCCCCATGACTGAAATGCCATGAGATGGGTCATACTTTATCACATGAGGTGCTGTCATTGGCGTCAGAAGGCCCATGTCAGTTTTCCTTCCAGATTACTGAATATCTACTAAAGTTTCTTACAGAACACGGCAGCAAGACCTTGGCTTGTGCTGAAGATTGTACAGTCAGAATGCCACAAACATTGCAGCATTCAAGTTGTGATTGTGACCCTAAGCGACATTTTCTTTAGTATGGAGATCTTGACCCGCTGTAGCAGTTTGGCTTAACTGTGCCTCTATTGTGTTAGTCAATGAGCACTAACTGCTGTGGCTAAAAGGGTCTCTTGTTCTGTGCCAGCACCAGGTGGCTAGGCAGGCCCATAGGCCGCCCTGCTGGCAACATGTCCATGCAGCACGACCGCCACGCCAGTGTGAGACGCCGCATACTATAACAAGTATGGACCTGTGCATAACATGGATATCATACTGAAATTGTGACAATAAATTACAAAAGTGTGTATTAAATTGAATTAATTGCAAAAACAAACATCCATGTAGCCAGTCCCAATGTATCACTTCTGACACACAAGACGGTGACACTGACATAAATGAATCATGAATGTATATAATATGAATTACTAAAGAGCAAACAACCTCTTACCTAGTAAGAGCTGGAAAGCATAAAAGAGCCCCCCGTAGACACTGTTTGGTTGGTTCAGTGCACTATCATTTCCAAAAATTGAGCCCAAGAGTCCAAACCCACGGCCCCACCTGAAACATAAAATCAGAATAAGCATAATTGTCATTAATCTCAAAGAAAGAAGTTTTTTTTGTAAAAGACATTAAATTGGCCAGCAGAAGAATTACATTTTGAAAACCAACAGCAGGGACAAAAGGGTCAAAGACTGAACAAATTATAATTGGTGTCAGTAACATCCATTATAGTCAAATTTAGTACAAATATTAATTACAGAGTTTGCTTCATTATGGAGTGAGGAAAAAGGAATCAACCCAAAAAGATTAAAGAAATTAAATAAAACAGCAAGAAATCATCAATAGTTGCAAGGGAACCAGTGTACCACCAGGATGAGCTCACGTACCAGTCATGCATACCATAGTAAACATACAATAATCAGTGTTTTGTGCCATATTTTCTAGAGTTTATTTTAGAACATTCCTCTTGGTACAGGTGTACGGCAGAAAGCCAAGTAGGTGGAGCAGCCTAGACATGACATGCCCATAACAGCAGGAATAACGACATGACAGAAGGGGTTATAGACTGAAGTGTCATGTAAGTTTACACATCTATTCAATCTACACCAACTCATCACTCAGACTTACCCTGCCATGTATCCATAGAGTTCATCTTCATATGGAGCTCTAAGTTTTAGTTTTTATCTTGTGCACAAATCAAGGATTCAGAATATCTAAATTCTACTGACTCACAAAATTACTGAGCAGCTTAGTCTTTGGGTGGTGCACAATTCAATATGTAGAAGTAGACTTTGTTCGCCAAAGGACACAATCAATAAACCAGCAAAACTACTCCACAAATATGTTCTTCTCGATTATAAGTTTTAATTGTGTTAAATATTGAGAATGCAAACTGATACGAGCACAAAAAGCACGAAAATAGTGGTGTACATGTGGCAATACTATGGATGTAATATATCAACATTAGCTCGGGTAGCAAAGTTAGCTTTGATAAGCTACATAGCTAATGATGTGGTCCTCCCATTTACAAACAGAAGCGGCACAATAACAGCACTATTGTAAGTCACTGAACGCAGAATGGCCTTGGTGGCATGAGTTTGACATGACTGTGTCTGCATCTACAGGTAAATGTGCTCGACAGCTTGTGGCGTTAGCCCTTCCCTGTTTCCACAAAGCAGCAGCTTCATTGAGCGCCACCACAGTCGGCGCTCTTTCAATTCAAAATTACCTTGAGCTGAAGACTTTGGAGCAGCTGACTGAGCTGCTCAGGTCGCACATCGCCGTGTAGCTGGGATCCTCCGCCTTTTCCCTCTCCACGTGAAAAGCATAAAGAGACAGCAGGATCCCTATAACGCACACGAGAAGCCTAGCTATTCTTTCCCACCGAGGGGTGGACACTCTTAGGACGGGCGCCGCCATCACTATGTGGCCTAGCTGCAGACACGCAGACACGGTACACGCATCCACCATCCAGAGCAGACAGAGCAGACAGAGCAGACACACGGGAGGAGCCACGTCAGCGTGCGCCTGACGCTGCAGCACCGGGGCGGGACGTCCGGATCAGCAACTGCAATCACCCAAAACTTGGATTTAATGAACTGAAAATGACTGGAATCTGATTTCAGCCACTCACAACGAGGTGAACTGAAAGTGAACTCTGCAGAGGTTATCATTCATTTATAAAGTTTGACTCTACTGAAATTGAATTTGTAGTCCATAGGAAATCAATTGGTAAAACATTTAGATCTCCCATTAGATCATGTAATTTCAAAAAAAGTATATATTCCCCGTCCACTTGAATCTGAAATGTTTAGTGATTTGTAAGATTTGGAATTCCTCTGTGTGTCGCACTCTTGGTCACGTGGTCATGCATATAAAAACACTCCGTGACATCATCTGTTTACTTGCTTCGTTTCTCGCTCCTCTGGAAGAAAACTCCTGCTATAATTCTGCTGCGCATCAGCCTCTTCACCACAATGGCTACAGACTTAGAAATATTGGCTTCATTTGAGGCGGCCGTCTATGATCAATATGAGTACTACAACCTGCGTGAATACCCATGTCATGCAGGAGGGAAAGGACGCACCAAGAGGGAGATCGAGCTCAACACCAATCGCCATATTCCCGCAGGCCACGAGAGGAAGATCGCAGAGAAATACCATAATAGTGAAATAAAACGTCGGCGAACCAAGAGCTCGTGTGCCTGAGGATAAAGACAGGCAAGATATTTATTTTTACTAAAATACATTTCAAGTACCTGACTAAATTCGATGGATCTTAAATGTATTGATTATCTCAAGGTGATGACAATGCTAAAGATTACTATCGAAACGATGTATTTTTTTTAAAGGAAATTGGATTGCACTGCATTGTAAACATTGTAAACATTGTAAACATTGCCAGAAAAACACCGTGTTCTGTGTATAAAACAGGCGCGGCTTTCACTTTTACCACGCCCCCAAAACAATTGATAATTAACAGGATCATTTGCGGTTCTATTATGATCTGTGTGCGTGTGTTCTTTTTTTCACTTGTTTTGATGACTGTTGATTTCTCCTCCGCAGATGCAGACATATGGATTCCTGATGTTGACCAAGCCAAATGTATTTGCCTCTACCTGACCCAGTGACTGGAGTTGTGCGACTGCGACACTATGAATATCCAGTCACAGACGGGACACGGTCCAGTACTCAGTGCTGTAACAGTGTAACAGGACCCAGCTTTTCCCTGTTATAACTGACAAGGAGTTTGTGTTGATTTAAGTAAAAGTCAGCATGTCAGTTTTGGTGTATTTATATTTACAACTATGTAAATGTAGGCTGGAGAGCTATTGTGCTCAAATAAATGATTTCTATTATTATTTTATGTGCACCCACACATTGTTCGTTTTGATGTTTTTGAACAATTAGTGCGTGGTGCCCGTGCCACCTCACTTTATTATGCAGATTTATTTGTGCATTGATATATAAGTATGCACACTTTAAAATGAGTATACACATTTTATTATGTTACGCTATTACTGTATCTGAATAATTCTATTTCAGTTGAAGGTGCACCATCCATCCACCTCTGCAAAAAGCGTAGGGTTCAGAGGGTAAATTCCAGAGTTGTCCTGACACATCAGGCCGTGGTTTCCATTCACACTGACCGCCTCACACTGCGGTATCATTTTGACTTGGCTTCAACTCACCTTTCAACCTCGTCTTTTTTTGTAGCTGAGCCGTGTCTTTAGACACCAAAATGTAATCTGTCCTCGAACGATTTGTCGAACGTGCACAATTATTAAACAAGAGGAACAGCAGGAGCAGAAGTGACATGCACCTGCAGACTGTCAGACTCGATGTGGTCCGTGGTGTTTTCTCTTAATAAACAGCCTTAGTGAAATGATTCTGTGTGGAATACAAGATATGAAATTAAGTCATGAATTATTAAATTCCTTTTTGAAGCTAAGCAGGGCATAACTTGGTTGGTATTGTGATGGGAGACCTCTGCAAACACCACATACCACAGTGGACTGTGGCTGTAAAGTCACAATGTCCTTATACAAGACACTTCACCCACATTGCTTAGATTGACTCTGGTGTGTGTGTGAATATATACAGTCTATGGTGTGAATGGTTGGTGATGGCTGCGGCAACCAATGTCACATACACACTTGCCTCACTCCTCTCAGGGTGCCCCAGGGCAGCTGTGGCTACTGTAGTAGTTTATTATGAATAACGTGATACATGTGGATCGTCTTTGAGTGTTCAAACAAGCGCAATATTCATGCATTATTATTATTAGGTATATGTTGGCTTTATGAAGCAAGCAAGTGAGCAGCTGCGACAAGAGCAAAGACCATATCGGCCTTCACAGCTTGGATTGACTGGTACTGACAACAGGTATCTTTTATTCATAAGTGGTCCATCACATTTTAAAACTATTTCCTGTGGTCCCAGCACATTGACTGCAGACGCCTCCTCCTTGCCTTTCAACAATATTTACAGTCTATGATGTCTAAACCCGCCTCATGTTCATATAGTTGACATCCAGTTGACTCCAGAGTAAAAAATGCGCTCCGGGAAATGTTGCAATGTATAGTACCTGAAGATGTTCTGCTTCCCTTGATTATTTTTGCTCAAGCAAAATTGAATAGAATTAAATACTTTTTGTTCAAACAAACATATTTTATGTAACACTAAAAACTATGAAAACATGCACATTTATTACTTAAGAACAGGCATGTATCTCCAAAAGAAAGGAAATGGGGAGCTGCTTGTTTCCTTTGAATTCAGTTCTCCCATTGATTTATCATTATTTGATAATACTTACTTCTACTTTGAGTCTCCCCAGTATATGTGGCATGGGTGGTTTTAACTTTTATTTGCCTTCAAAAAGTTATGCTGTTGCTTAAAGGAATCCTAACTAACGTGTATGCTGGACCATGACTGTCACCCCCTGCAGGACACTCTGTCTGCTCTGGAGAGCAGTTTCAGTAACAGACTTATTCACCCTCGCTGGGTGAAGGAGAAGTTACGCAGTTCTGTCCTTCCTGCTGCTGATAGACTGTACAACAAACAATGAGGACTGACGAACACTGCCAACCTGATCTCACATGGCATGCGTTGGTGCAATATCTTAACTAATGTTAGAATGTGCGATATAGAACCACATGTGTCACTGTCACTTTCCTGAGCCACTGTGTCCCAGAGCTTCATGCTGCTAATATACAGATGCTGCTGCTAACATGTACAGATGTAAACATACTGCAGCTATTGCTTGCGATGGAGATTTTATACTAGAGTTAGATATTTTATATTATTCTAAATAGTATAGTTATTGTTCATTTTTCTTGTGCTGTGTGCTTTTCATGTAACTGGGGTTGCAACACTGAAATTTCCCCACTGTGGGACGAAGTCATATTTTGTAATATCTTCCGATGTTATTGTTCCTTTAATCCACTTAATCAAAACGTCCATATTAGTACACACGCGCTTTGTTTTTTTAGTTTGGTTTAAATAAAAAAGTAAACATTTTATTTATTTATAACATACTATAACATACTTTTATTGTGAAGTTACATGTTACAAACCCGGAAGAGATGCTTTCCGGAAGGTCAAACAGCATAAACAGCGTAAACAGCACGTGAACAATTTGGAAAAATGCAACTTTGCATTGTGTGCTCCGAGCAACCGCCGAAATACAGATGTCCAGCCTGCAGAAGCAGATAGTAAGAGCCGAAAGCTTCTTGGCTAACTGTATTAAGCTCATGCTAGTGTTAAGTTGTTGTAGGAGGACTGCGGTGTTGTTGTTACAGGTGTTAATGCTCTTAAATGTGTCTGACGTGTTCTTTGATTCTCTTGCAGTTGTTCTGTAGTTTGTTACAGGAAGCACAAAGGTAACATTAACTGATGTAGTTACATCTGTTGATAATAAACGATACATCCTTTACTAACGCATAGATTGTACTTACAGATTCGTGCCTTCCTGCTCAATCTCCACCTGTACCCCCAGTTCATGAAGGCAAGGGCTCCATCAGCACAGGTCAGTCTGCTGCTGCTGCTCCGATTGTTGAGCTGTCACGTTTACAATGTATTTATTTTCCAGATCAATCCACTGTAGATGATCTTTCACACGATGAAATCATTGACAAAGTACCTATGGAAAGGCTGCAATTGTTGGGTATTACATATTTTGTTTTATAACTTATTAACTATTGGGGTTTTACTCACAAAACTGGTGTTTAAAATGTGTTCGTTTTGTTATCTTCATAGGTCAATCCAAAGAGTTACAAGACCTCCTTTGTAATCCTCACCTGAGACAGTTGATGCTTTCCATAGACAATTCTGAGAGCAAAGACCGTGCGATAAAAGCGGCAATGCAGACACCTTTATTTGCCGAATTTTCTGATTGCTGCTTGAAGATTGTGGACAAAGATGACCTCAATAATGTGTAAATATAGTAAAACCTGGAATAATTTATTCTTGCTAATATGCTTCGTGAAACACAAAAACAAATCACGTTCATTTATACAATCTTGTAAAATTTATTGACATAATTCAAGTATTTGGCATCACAGATAAAACATTACTGTATATAAATGGTGTGCAACAATTTCTCTGAAGTTACATTATTTTGTTTCCCCTCCCACGTCTTAGACTTGCTAAGTTACTTATACCTTAACTAAAATTGTATTTTTTACTAAACCTGCTTTACTGAAGCCACTATTACCTGGTATATGGTTATATGGTGGTACATGACAACTAAAATTTTCAAATTATGGTTCAGAGGAAGAGTTTCCGATTTGAAAGATGGTGGTTTAAGGTTTTAAAACTTATGCCCAATTAACTTTTCCTGAGGAATAATATTGTGACATAGCCACGATAAAAAAAAGTATAAGTATACTTTTTGGGCAATATAAAAGATGACATCAGATATATACTACACACTAACTATCCTGTAAAACACAACATACTTTAAGCAAACAATATGTGCAAATTGGAATTCATGCTATGTGTGCTATAACATTTGTGCAAGAACTACATTGTTAATTCCATTTCAATGAGAGGACCAGAGCACTTCAAAAAAAAAAAATGTTCAGACTTTGGTATTAATGTAAATACAAAACTCTTTAGAAGCACAAAATGCAATTTAAGTTACTGGTGTTTTGTTAAAACCAGTCATAGAATGCATTTGTTCTGTGGCTGGTTTCACAAATGTGCTGAGAAAGTTGTGCTGTATTAAAACACTCACAAAGTCTTCTCTAGCAAGATCTCATTGAATCCCGTCATGTCCCTTTGGTCTGGGTGTCTGTCTGCATAGAGAAGTGGCGATCGCTGACAGTGAAGCTTTATAGATCCCTAAACAGAATCAAATGAGAGGACATGTTATTGTGCCAGTACAATAGTGAGAAATGTTTAATTTGAGGCCGAACCTTTGGTTGAGCTCGGATGGAGGCCAGTTTGTCTGCACTGGTTGGTCTCCACCCTGTACTTCCCACTCCTGGAGGGAAGGTTGAGTGAGGCCATGAGAGACACCATTTTAGAAAAGCCAGTGGCGGTCAAAGACGCAGTAATCGACGGAGCAGAAGCTAGGGCCAAACCCATAGGCCAGCCACACACCGTAACCGGCTCAGGGACACTCGAGACGTGGACTGAACCTTGTTTACTAATGACAAGGTTCAGCTCTGGCAGTTCATTAGGTGTGACATCTGCTGCATCATCCAGCTCTCTGTCAGCTAGAGACGCCAGTAGGTCCTGTTTAAAGAACATAAAGTCTATGCCTCTTCTTACACAGATCATGGATTACATGACATCCTCAAAGCCTCACCCTCCACGTCCGCCATGACTTTTGGATAATTGCAGCAGCTCTGTTCCACTGATGCACTTGCTTCCTCACCAGCCAGGACCGCACAACTACGCATTCACAAAACAATATTGATGTTGTTATATATTGCATCGCAAAGACACTTAATATATAGGTTCATTAGTGGCAGTTCAAATGTGACAAGAGCAGATTAGCGGCAAAAGATACTGCAGCCTTTTGGCCAGACAGCGAGGTCAGAGAATTAAGGTTTACCTGCTTGGATCACAGTGGCAGATTGTCGCCTGATGATACGTTTGCGTTGCTGATATCGTAGCCAACAGCACTGAATGGTGAAGGCACACTGAGACAGAATCTTCTTCCGTCGATCCTCCAGTAAATCAAGCTACAACATACAAACAAATAAGGTCAGTATAATAATAAGGGGCAGTTCTTATGACTGAGCGCTACAACAGCTACGTGACTGACCATTGATTGTGTGAGGAATACTTTACTCTTTCCACAATGCACCAGAGAATTCTGTTTGTCACCTCTAATTTGATGCAATACATCCTCTTGCTTCAAAACATCAGTAATTATAGTCTCCACAAAGTCCAATATATTGTTGTTCCCAGAATCTGAAACAAATGGACCCAGATGAATAATACATATACACAAATAAAAAATAAACAAAATGCAAAATACAAAACATGCATACACAGCGCTCTTAGACATAAAGAAACGTATTCACGCCACAGTGAGTGATGAATAAACATAAAATGATACAGTGGCTTACAGAAGTACTATGTTTACAACCACAAAACAAACATTTTATTCTGGGTTGTTTTCTGACAGACTGATGAATGCAGATATCTTGCCCCATGAGCGAATAGGGCCCAATAGTGTGAAATCCTCTCAGGTTAATTGCAGCCGTTTTGTACATGAGTCAACTATAATTTGTACTTTACATAAATCCGACCACTATGGACGAGTGGAAAAAAGAAAGCCACTGTTAAAAGACAGCTATAAAGAAATCCTGTTTGCCTTTTGCCAAAAGTCATATCGGGGACATAGATAACAGGTGAATGAAAGCGCTTTGGTCAGATGAGCCATAAATTGAACCTTTTGGCGCAAAACGAACACTGCTTTTCAGTCAGTAAAGGGGATTCCACAAAGTATTAATGAAACTCATGATTTCATTTGCCTGTTATTTTAGACTATATTTAGTCTTTCAAAAATTGTGGTTGTAAACATGACATTTGTATGTTAAAAAAGCTGTATTTTTAAAGACCAGCAAAAGCAGTGAGGAAAGGCTGTGTTCTGTTTGAACCTCTGATCACTGTTCTTTCCCCATTACCTGTGTAAAAAATAACTATATACAATTTTACACCAGGACTTTGTCTGTGCCACCTCACAGGAAAGTAGGCAAAAATATTAAAATAAAATATTTTCATTACAACTGCTCAATTTCTCTCTGGCTTTCTCTCCAAGATGCAAAACATTATGATGAGTTACAACACAGCCATAAATATCATGCAAAGCAAACTCAAACAGCCAAGAAATTACCTTGCATATTTAATTAAGAGACTAAAATACACCAAAGAATCCCTGAATAAAAGAATAAACAAAAAAAACTGTACAGGAGACATAGGTAAAGAATGTGTTTAGGGCAAAAGAGAAATAACATACACATAAGTTGCACTAGACTTACCAATGGTTAGGGTTGGTTTTATCATTCTGTACCGCTGAATAAAACTTTCAAAAGGTATTCTATAAAGACAGCACCATAATTATTAGTAAATCCTCTGAAATAGTTTTAAATCAGACAAGCATGATTTACCTCACTGGAAAGCCAGCAGCACTGATATGAATAGTCTCTACGATGCCACATGCCTCCAGCTGCAGAATTACCTGTCAAACAGAACAGAAACATTGTTTTGGCAGTCAAACAAGTAATTATTTATGGTCAATGTGGAAAAACATAGCGTACTTCTTCTCTCTTGAATGTTAAAGGCTTGCAGTCCTGATTTGGTTTAATGCAGCGAGTGTAGTGAGGAGTAGTGCTGTGCAAGATTTTCATGAGGTTTTCAAGGGAGTTCTGAAAGTAAGACGATCAATGTTAAGAATCGTCTCTGGTGCAATAGACAAAGATTTCAAAGAGGCAGCAGTGATCACCTTAAACTTGGAGACAACAGTCACTTTACTCAGTCCTTTGGTTGGTTGTTCTTCATCTTCAGAAAAAACCTGATGCAGCAAACTGTTCTTGGATTTGTGAAGCATGTTGATGAGCTCTGATGGCACTGGATCCTGCGAAAATAGTCAATAGTCAAAAGTTTAGTCAACGAAAAACATGTACACATATACTCTAATACATTTGATTACCTTGTTTTTCTCCGCCATGCCTTCAATCTGGTAGTTTACCTTACCAGCATAGTGGGCCACAGTGAAGTGAGGCTCCTGGCTGAACCGATCCCAGCTGATGCTTCTATTCTTAGATAGCTCATTCTCCAAGCGAACGCGAAACAATCGGGCGTCTGATGTACGATTAAGGCGACTCTCCTAAAATACAATTGTCACCATTTTAATAACTGCATCATACATAAAATCATCATCAAAATCACAATCATCACAAAAAATAAATATTTGGACTGATAGATTTGAAATTTAAACCAAAAAAATGTACGTTAACTGATGAGTGTTTTCTTTGGTATTCACACCCATATCCGGTGGTCCCTCATTTATCACAGGGTTATATTATAAAAATAATCCATAATAAGCAAAATCCGTAAAGTAGCAGCTCTAGGTTTTAAGGCAGTAAAACCCCTTACCACCCACCTTAAACCAGGTTCTTATAACTCATTTGGCCAGGGGCAAAAACGCTGCAACCCTGAAGGAACGTTCGCCCCACTGTTTGTAGTGGGACCTGGGCACATCCAGAACCATTTGATTGGCAGACCGGAGAGCTCTGCTGGGGCGATGTACGGTCAACAACTCAGTTAAATATAACGGAGCGAGACCATGAAGAGCTTTAAAAACAAGCATTAACATTTTAAAATCAATCCGAAAACGGACCGGGAGCCAGTGCAGGGAGGAGAGGACAGGAGTGATGTGGCTGTATCTAGATGAACCGGTGAGAAGACGGGCTGCTGCATTCTGCACCAACTGTAACCGGTTGAGTGACGACTGTGGGAGGCCAGAGTAGAGAGCGTTGCAATAGTCCAACCGAGAGCTGATAAATGCGTGCGTTGCCTTCTCGAGGTCTTGGCGTGAGAGAAAGGGCTTCACCTTGGTCAAAAGGCGCAGCTGGAAAAAGCTGGCTTTGACAACAGCATGTATTTGTTGTTTAAAGTTCAGTTCTCGGTCAAAAACAACTCCCAGGTTCCTGACGGCATCACGGACTGGACCCACGACCCTGGACTGAAACTGAGGAACATCCCCGGAGCCAAAAATAATGAATTCGGATTTTGTTTCATTGAGGTGGAGGAAATTCTGCGTGAGCCATTGTTTAATGTCCGAAAGGCAGTGGTGAAGGGAGTCAAGGGCAGTGGCAGTGTTAGGGAGCACTGGTAAATAAACCTGGACATCGTCAGCATAAAGATGGAATGATAAATTATGTCTGGCAATGATGGACCCGAGCGGCAGCATGTAAAGTGAGAACAGGACCGGGCCAAGGATGGAACCCTGTGGCACCCCAGATGACAGCGGGGTGGAGGAGGAGGAATAGTCATCGACCATCACAACAAAGCTCCGGTCAGTCAGGTAGGACCTGAACCACTGCAGGACCGTGCCCTGAACACCAACATGCTCCGCCAGCCGGGAGAGGAGAACTGAGTGGTCCACGGTGTCAAACGCCGCAGTCAGGTCCAGCATCATCAAAAGCACTGGCTGCTTCGAATCCAAAGACAGCAGAATGTCGTTGTGCACTTTAAGAAGAGCTGACTCCGTGCTGTGACGCGATCTGAAGCCTGATTGAAATTTCTCCAAAATAGAATTATTTTCCAAAAAGGTCTGCAACTGAATGAAGATTAGTTTCTCTAAAACCTTAGACAAAAATGGCAGGTGAGAGACAGGTCGAAAATTTGACAGAATAGCAGGATCTAGATTAGGTTTTTTTAACAGTGGCCTAACCACAGCATGCTTGAAGGCTGCAGGAACAGATCCAGTGCTAAGGCAGCTATTAAACAAAGCAAGAAGGTATGGGCCCACAGTGTCAAAAGCATGTTTGAGAACCTTAGATGGAACAATATCCAGAGGACAACTTGTGGGTCTCATCCCCTGGACCACCTCAGAGAGGAGAGTCAGTGTCACAGGCTAAACTCTTCGAGAACAGCAGGGGGCAGTGGAGGAGTATAAACGACAGCAGAGTGAGCATTACAGCCAATGCCCATCCTCACTGATGCCACTTTATCCACAAAATGCTTCAGGAATCCATCACATGTAGACTCAGAAACATTCTTTAGCACACTGCCAGGTGGACTAATCACAGACTGTATTGAGTTAAAAAGCACCCTAGGGTTGCTAGAGCTGGAGGAGACAATATTTGATAGATATTGGCATTTAGCCTCCCTGACTGCCTTTTGGTAGCTGGCTAGGCTCTCCCTCAGGTTGCCAGGTTATTTCTACCCACAAATAATTGAATGCGGATTTCCCCTCTGCTTCTTCCGTGTCAAGGCAACATTATGGGTGACATCTGCACTCGGCTCATCCACTCCTTCTACAGTCTACAGTTGACCACATGTCACTGTCACTTTACTGAGTCCCTGTGTCCCAGAGCCTCATGCTGCTAATGTACAGATGTAAACAAACTGCTGCCAATGTACAGATGTAAACATACTGTTGCTAATGTACAGATGTAAACATACTGCTGCTAATGTACAGATGTAAACATACTGCTGCTAACGTACAGATGTAAACATACTGCTGCTAACGTACAGATGTAAACATACTGCTGCTAACATGTACAGATGTAAACATACTGCTGCTAACGTACAGATGCTAACAAATAACTACACTTTGCTTGCACTAGCATACACAGTACTTTATACTTAACTTTTACACCTCTTTTATTATTATTTTCAAGATAGAGATTTTATACTTGTTATTTGATGCTAGGGTTAGAGTTTTTTTTTATTTTTTTTTATTAGTATAGCTATTGTTCACTTAACTGTGCCGTGTGCTCCTCTTTCCTACTGTCCTATAACTTGTGATGCAACACTGAAATTTCCCCAATGTGGGACGAAAAGGATCTCTTAATCTTAATCTCATCTGTCCAAATAATGTTGTACTCCTAATGGTTTAGTTTTAATCTTCTCTCATTTAAAAGGTTTCAAACATACCAACACTAATGACAACTTACCTCATTTAGCAGAGAAAACACACTCATTGGAGAGCCTTCTATGAGGTCAAGACAGCCGCGATTGTCCTGGTATTTAACAAAAGACCATTCCAAGCCCTCTGATATATATTCCTCCTGTGTTCAAATATATTGGAAAGTAAATAATTATCATCAAATTAATCATTTAAATTTGCAGGATTCCATTTCTACAAATGGATACCTGTTGAGCTTTAAGGTAATGGCTGACAAAGTGCTGTTGTAATTTCTCATTGGCATAATTGATGCAAAGTTGTTCAAGGTTGTTCAATTGGAAACATTCAAAGCCATACACATCAAGCACTCCTTGAGAGAAAATTGTAATATTTGTTATACCATGTTATAATTACATCACAAATATGTGAATCCAATGTTTGTACCTATAAAGTTGGACCAGGTAGAGCTCTCTGCACACATGCTGTTATTGATATATGTAACCAGCCATTCAAATAACCTATGGAAGACAAATTCAATAAAGTCTCTAATCCGTGCTGATCATTCAGATCTTACCCAGCATAGATGACTTTTGCCAGGCAGTCTCTTCTGACAAGACAGTCGGATAGGGAGCAAGGCTTTAATACACTCTGCTTCCCAGCCTTCAGTGTCCTCACTCTGAAACAGGACTCGAGCTCGAGAGCAACGACTCCTAAAAACTCAGCTGCATTTTGTAGATATTCTGGTGATGAGACACATGATTGGATTCAATATCATGAGTTATTATTATGTTTGTTGAAAGTAAAGTTGTTTAAATTTGTGGCACCCTTAGACTTTTCCTCGAGGTCACAAGGTTGTGAATCATCTGAAGAAGAGCAAAACTCTATGTTTCCAAGGTGCAAAATCCCAGCCAATATCTGAAAGAATTTATTTTTATTTTTTAACATAAACTGGGCTGTTCTCATTGAGAGACAATATTAAAACAAAATAGTTATTACATTGGTCTTGATCATTTATAATCAATATATATAAATACCCTAAACATTTCCCTTTGTCGTTCAGTGTTAATACCCAGATGTCCCATAGCCCCAACAGTCTCTTCAAAACAATCCTCTTTAAAAGGGTAGAAAGATAACAGTTAAATTCAAAGTCAAAAGGAAGTTAATTTCCATGTATATTAAAGTAATACAGACCCTCTAAATGTGTATTTGAATTCGGAAGCCAGGCAAAACATTGTCCATTGGGCATTTTCCATTCTTTCCTTTGTTCAGTGGTTGCTCCACTCATCATCTGTTTGAAACAACACACTGTAGTTGTATACTAATAAAATATTGATATATAACATGATTTTAAACATCTTATTTCACACACCTGGTAAAAAATATGAAAGTTTCTTTCACCAGTAGGTTGGAAGACAACTCTTGTCTTTTCTAGCAGATATGTTTGTACAGATGCTCCAACTAACAGCTGACGACTTTGCACATCATATTAAACAGATTAGGCAGGATTATGAAAGAGCTTTAGTCATGTAAGTAGTTATTACTTCAACATAGTCGTAGACATAGTCTGCTCCAAGTACCTGTCAAGTTGAAGCTGGATGTACTTTCCAAAGCGACTGCTGTTGTTGTTTCGTAGTGTACAGGCATTTCCTAAAGGAATTGCAATGGGGTCATTTGGTGCAATATATTTGTCAAAATAAACCATATAAATAATTACATTTCTTACCAAATGCTTCCATAAGTGGGTTAGAATCTAACACTCTTCTCTCAATCCTTTCAACAGTGTTTTGTTTTTTCACAACTGATGACGACGCAGCCACAGTGGCATAATATTTCATAAGACATCGAGAGGTCCATGTCTTTACAAAGAAAACATATCACATTACATTACATTAATTCACATGAGGATAAATAAATTATGACACTAGATAAGTACATTTGTGGTCAGCTTTATAGTTATTATTATTATTCAATCCAAAAGAAGACTGTCTGGGAGATGTTATTTTACCTTTCCAGCACCACTTTCACCACTAACCACCAGAGACTGGTTCACCGGCTCCAGCTGACCCTTCACATTCCTGTAGGCTTCTTCAGCCACAATGAAGATGTGTGGTTTGGATTCCTAATGCATTAAAGAAACCTATATTACTGTTTACACACTCTAGAATATTGTTAAAGAGGACTGATGGCCCTTACCTGCGGCTGAGAAGTGCAGTGATACTCTTTCATCACATCCAAAGAGTAGAGGTAGGGAATGGGTTGAAAAGGGTTCAAAGCCACCAAGGTACAGCCTGCATGAGTGTAGAACACCTTTGCATCGTACCTGGCCTGCAAGCATGTCAGCACTGGCACAAATGACGTGAAGAAAAACATAAATGTAACAAATGGTACACTCTTTAGAAGAAACATTTCATTAGATCCAAAGAACATTATCCTGCACAACAGGTACACTCTATGTTTATTGTAACACATGAATTAGTATTTCTATTTTGCCCAAGCTTTTTTATAAGGGCACAACTTATAAATATCAAGTTTCAAGGTGACATGAAACAAAGCCTTAGTGAGATAATAGAAAGTAAAACAAATGCCTCAAATTCCATCCAAACTTTCAGGGAAAATGGGTTTGGGAAAAAGGTTTTTGTTTTTTTGTTTTTTTACCTGTCGAAGGTGTCACTGGATTTACTTTGGTCAAATCATCATAAGTGTGAAGCTGTTTTTCGTCTATTAGAAACAGCCGAATGTCTTCATCCAGAGAGTCATTCAGGGACTGAAGAGAAAAACGGAATAATTTGGAACACAGAATAACGTTATGCTTATGGTGTAGTTATTCTGCATTCAAGAGATTTATGGAATGTTGAAAGACAAGTTAAACAAATACAATGAACAAAGGAAAGACTATAATAATTTCTGCTTGTATGGAATTCAATTAACAAATCAAACCTGTTTGCAATTCTTGAAATACTAATTGGGCTCAACAGTGGTGTAAACATTGAAATTCCGTGTCAATACATAACGCTGCCCTTATTTTGTTACAATTCCAAGGTTAGATTACGGGTTAGATGTGCGTGATTAACTAAACATCAGATAATCATCTACCACTATAACAATAATGCAATGTGTTAATAACTTTGTAATGAATGAGTCAGTTTTTGCGTTATATTTCAATTACAAAGTAAAATTAGGCAGGAGAGCAGTCCGTTTTCTTACCGTTCCCATGCTCCACTGTAGTTTATTAAGTTTACAGCAGGTCTCCAATCTGTATGGCAAACTGCTAAATATAACAGTTTTTTTCTGTACTTCGTTCCTCAGCGTGGAGTTTGAACATTCATTTCCCTTCTCCGTCTCACATTCCTCAAGGACAAGTAGAAGCAGTGAGTCAGCCGCCAGGACACGGGCTTGTTTTCCAGAACCACAATCCTGTTATTCCCGCCCTCTTCCTGATACTTCACGGACTAGACCGATGGTAGTAGCTTACAGACTCTATATTCTAACGCCAAATGCTAAACCCTATTGTGATACATTTGTTCTTTTTATGATAAAAAAAAAAATACATTTGTAATTTGACAAACAAATTGTTAAAATAAAACAGGTGTGTTGGAGGAGGAAATTCCTACGAAAACTAGGTACCCTGAACACAACATTGAACAAAACGGAAGTGTAGTCCACTCTTATTATTTTGAAAGCATTTGACAGAACTGGTCATACTTGCTTAAAACTTGCCTACTGGATTCTTATCAGGCTGTTGCGTGTATTTCTGATAAGTGGGGTAAGCTTTTATATCGTTTTAGTCGTATAGCTATTTATCCTTTAACTTTGGCTTGACGCCTTTGGTGCGAGCTATGCTAAAAATTAGTATCTAGCTAGTCTAAAGAGTGTATCAACTGCAGACTGAATTGTATTTAATAATGTTTAATACTTTCACTTTTGATGATTCTTTTGTTATTTGCAGATCATGTCTCAGAAAGAACTCAAAGAATCATTTGTCAGTAATCTCAATGGAACCAGTTTGACGGAGGTGGCCCTTGGTTCATCCCTTTCTCCATTGTGCCTTCTCAACAGAGGACTGCTTCTAATTCTCTTTCAAAAAGCTTCTGCATCTCTGCCAACATCAGCACAATCATTTCTACATATTGTGTTTGATTACACAGCCTTAATTCTCCCCCTTGTGTTTTCATGCACTGTTCTGAGTGACATTCTTTTGGAAGTTGTAATAAGCATTTTTCTTATTTCCATGTGTATACTTATCTATATCTGTCACTCGAATGAACAATCTTTTCACCAGCAATCAAAGACTTTTCTCGAAAGCCACCTTGAGTTTGAACGTGTCCCTTTTGTCACCAATTTCCGTGTTTTTGTCAGTTTGAAAACTGCCATCAGCATTCTGGCTGTGGATTTTGCAATATTCCCAAGGAGGTTTGGCAAAACAGAGACCTATGGCACAGGTGTTATGGACTATGGAGTTGGAGGATTTGTCTTTGCAAATGCCCTCGTCTGTCCAGAGGCTCGGAGAAAAGGCATCACATCATCCAAGATTAAGTACATCACAAAACAGATGGTCTCTGTCTGGCCCCTGGTTGCAGTAGGCCTGGGCAGGCTAATAAGTGTCAAAATGACTGGTTACCATGAGCATGTGACAGAATACGGTGTCCATTGGAACTTCTTCTTCACACTTGCCATTGTTAGAGTTGTTGCATCTATATTTCTTGCTATTATACCAATCAATCAATGTTGGTTTTATGCCCTGCTTATTGCTATAATGTATCAATTCATTCTCGACAAGACGGGACTGAAAGAATTTATCATCTTCAATAATGACAGAGAACAGGACTTCCTTCATGCCAACAAGGAGGGTTTATTCTCACTTGTGGGATATGTGGCCATCTACCTTGCAGGTGTCCATGTTGGAAGTTATGTTATGCAGCAGCGTATAACTATAAAGGAGTGGCTACGAGCACTTGTCTCTCTTTCAATTTCAAGTTATGGTCTGTATGCTGCTGTATGTTTATGTAAGCTATTCCTAGAGCCAGTTTCTCGACGCTTGGCTAATTTCCCTTTCTGTCTTTGGAGTGTTGCTCAGTCCCTCTACCTTTTGTCATTTATTGGTTTGGTTGATTTGCTTCTAGTGTTTTCTCAAAGAGCATCAAACATCAACTGTGTTCCGTCTTCATGGAGTTTGTGCAAAAAACAAACAAATGTAGTTCCTGTGAAAAACCATATTTTCTCAAAAACTCTTTGCCTTCTCCAAGCTGTCAACAGAAATCAGCTGATCTTTTTTCTGCTTGCAAATGTCTTGACGGGGGTGACCAACTCTTTAGTTAATACATTAGATTGTAGCACAGTGTTATCTGTGTATGTTTTGATGTCATACATGTTTGTGAATTGTTTTGTGATTTATGCTTTACATCTCTATGGAATCACAATAAAGTTTTGGTAAAAGTCAAAGAAAAACTCTTAAAAGCTTTTTTGTACATAATGCAATGTGATGTTGTAATTATATATTTATTATTCTCATATAAAGGTTCAGTATTCCTATACTGTATTCTAGATATAATCTCGAGTCTTAAATCTTGAAATCGTGAAAGTATTTGAAAAATTATGATCACGATTATGTTAAAAACGCACACAGGATCTGGCAACCCGGACCGGGGCAAAGGTGACGAAGGTTCCACCTCAGTAGCTACCGTGTTTTATTTGTTTATTTTTGGTTTTAAACAATATTTGAGGTAAGAATGACTCGTATTCAATCCTAGTCTAGATACTTGTTGCCAGTATGATCATGCATGTATGTGACATCTGCCTGTTGACTCCAATAATGCAACTAACAAAGTTGTCATGAAGTAGCGCTGTCTTCTTTATATTAGCTTGCTAACTGAGGCTAAGTAGGGCACCATCGCTAATCACTCACACTTTACTTTGCTCGGAGATAACGGATTTCTTCAAGATTGGTTTGATTACAAAACCATAAATAGTGGTTCGTTAAACACTTTTGTAATTAGAGTTGTGTTTAATCGGCAAATATAAGGCACGACAGCATCACCTGCACAGCATTGGCTAATCCAAAGTTACTCTGTTAAAGTGGAATTGTGCTAACGCTAATGCTAGCTTTCTCCCTTTTTTTAAGCTAATGCTAGCAGTCGATGTGGCTTTCAAAACAGCATTTTCAATTGTAACACTTGTATTAATAGTTAGCCTATTTGGCTGTACGGCATTTATTACCCTTTGTTATAGTCAATCAAATCAGCTGGGTTTCGTGTTTCTAGGTACTACTTTACCGTGCTAGGCTATACGTTGAATTGTGAAATTGTCATTTAAATATGTTTATTTGCGTTTTCCATCTTATTCTAAAGGCAACTTTATCGTGGTAACAAGGATGGCACGCTTGGTTGCAATATGTAGGGACGGGGAAGAGGAATACCCATTTCCACCGAGACAAATCCCATTGTCCATTGATGACAGTTTAACAGTAAGTAAACCTTTTCACCAATGTTATAAGTACCAGTGTGTTGCTTTTGCTAATATTAATAATGATGATGATGACGATGATGACATTTTATTCATGCACTTATTTCAGATGGTTATGGAATTCCCAGATGACTTTGGTGATGATGGTAACCATAAACAAAAATTCTCCTCCTTCAAACAATTCTCAAAGGTGTGGGTTAAGCGAAGCAATATTTTGACATCTACTCATTTTGTGTTTTTAACTAACTCTATGCTTACATTTCAGTGTTACTCCAAGTTAACACATGAGAATTTGAACGCTGCTCTCATTGTGACATCCCAAGAGGTCTTCAGCACTCTGTCCCAGTTGGTTCCGTGTGTGGGCTGCAGGAGGAGTGTGGAGAGCCTCTTTGCTCATGTAGTCAAATCAAGGAACCCAGCTTTAGAACCCCTCACTGTGGAATCTACAGGCATGCTTTCTGTCACAAAGTCATGTCTGTCTGATGTGAAGAAGCTCTATACTCTCTTCTACGTCCATGGGTAAGTATTTTTGTACATTTGAATGCTTGACTAATTTGTATACTTGAAAATGTACAATTATTCAAGCAGAACTGGTTACTTATACCTTTTTTATTCTGAAAATGTTCTAAATGTTTTGTTTTTTATATTAATAGATCAAAGTTAAATGGCTTTATGGATGCCATTCCAAGAGGGAAAAAAAACAAAAGATGTCAGTTACACTCATTGGATACACATAAACCCAAACCTTTTGGGTAAGTTATGCAAATCTTAAGACGTGTGTTTCAGTGGATTATGTGTATTAAACAAAAATGACTTGATCGCAGGGGAAGCTGGATGGATGTGTGGGAGCTCATGTCACAAGAGTGCAAGGATGAAGTGGTGGTCATTGATAGTGAATGTCTCCTGGATACACTAGAGGAATACTTACGCAAGCATAAGTAACTGATTATCCTTTTTCATTATCTAACTATATATTTTTGTCAGCTGATTCTAAATCTGTTCATGTATGTATTTTCAGATTTTGCACAGAGTGTAAAAATAAGGTGCTAAGAGCATACAACATCCTTGTAGGAGATTTGGATGGTGCTAAAGAGAAGGGCTACTGTGCTGCTCTGTATGAAGGTCTGTGCTGCTGTCCAAACGAAGGCCACGTCCATGTGTACAGTAAAACCGACTTCATTGCTCACCTTCTTGACAGAGCAGAGCCTGAGTTCTCTGGGGGATACGAGTAAGTATTTATTTTTATATTGTGTTATCAAATAAAACAATTTCCAATAAATGTGTTCTTTTAAATGTACAGGAGAAGAGAGAGACATGCCAAGACAATTGAAATTGCACAAGAAGAGGTTCTGATCTGCATAGGTATTCATCTTTATGAGCGACTGCACAGAATCTGGCAGAAACTACGAGCAGAAGAGCAGACGTGGCAAGTTTTATTTCATTTGGGGATCGATGCACTACGTAAAAGCTTTGAGGTATGCTAACTAGAAAAACTTGCAGATTGGTAGATTTGATTGTGTTAGATTGGCAATGTTGTTTTGTGTCGGATCTTATAGATTGCGGTTGAGAAATTGGAAGGGATCAGTCGACTAGAGCAATTCTTTGAGGAGCTGTCTGAAGAAGAGAAGGCTAAAGAGCTTAAACTTGAGAAAAAGAGACAAAAGAAGAAAAATCGGCGTAAGAATAAATGTGGCAACGAGATGTCTGAACAAGAAGCTGAAAATGAGAAGAAAGTGCCTGATGTGGTAATTGAATATCCACATTACAAGCATGGTTGTTATTGTGCATTTTTCTGAGTGTTTTTGCAATGCAGGGATCTCTTGAGTCTGTTGAGAGCTGTTGCCATGGATGTGAAAGCCATTATGAGGACGAAAACAGGCCTCAAGAAAGAATGTGTGCTAATGAAAACCTTTCCTGCAGGTGCACAGGCAACACTAAACAAGGTAATCTTGATGTGCAATACTAGATAGACGGCATTCTCTAAACTTCTTAACAATATTTTTTAGATCCATCTTCGCACAGCAATGGTAGTGACTGTGGTTATTCATCAAGCAGCGAAATTGGCTCTCGAGAAGGTTCAGAAGTTGCCTGTCCAGATGGAATTTGTAAATATAATGAAGCAGGTCTGTTCAGAACCGATGACGACAAGGTTTCTTTAAACTGTGGATTTAATGTTTTACACTGTTCTTTTGATTGTTTTTTGTATAGCCGAAGTCGGTAATATCTACAGTTGTACAGACGACAGAGAAGACAGTTGTTTGGACTGCTGGCCACTCAAAGATGAACAATGTAAAAGGAAAAAAGGAACATGTCTTACAGTTGACAAAGTACAGGTACAGAATATTTTTAAGATCTACATGTATGATCCAAATCAGATTCATGTATTGTTTGAAATGTTTGCAGAGACCCAATGATAAAGACTGTGTGAAAAAGGGGAATCGCCAATCACTGCCGTCATGCCTGACTAACGGAATTCTTCACTGTAAACCTGCTCGCAACATGCATGCACCTCGGAGTGGACATAAACAAAACCATGGGTCCATTAGTCTTCTGGAGCTTTTGGTTAGTAAAGAAAAGGTTTCAAATAATTTTCAATTGTTTTTTGTATTCAAATATTGTGTAAAACAACACTGCAGTTATTTCACTGTTGTTTCTCTAAACAGGAGGATTCTGAGGTTGTTTCAGATGAGGAGAATGGCCTGACTGAAGTTGAAATCCAGTCATTCTTTGAAAAAAATCCCACGTTCTACAATGACCGGCCTCAAGTCCGCAAACGCATTAAGGAAAGATTTTCCGACTATTGTCGTGCTGGAAAATAGTGTGGAGTATCAACTACATTAAAGTCACTCTTATGTGAAAATAATCACACCTGCAATATGATTTGGGTTTATTTGAATGTACGTGATGTCAAATGATTTGTCTCAGACGCAAATCTGATTAAATGTAGTCATGTTTAACTTTTAACTGCACTTAATCACATCCTGTTGGTGATCACTCTACTCTGGAGTGCTTAGATTGTTCTTTCGCTGTAGGACTGTTGATTAGAAGCACAGTTTAATTGTTAATCAGCTTTACAAGCTGTGACATTCGTGATACCTTTAGTCTTAATGTTTATTTTTGTTACATTTGGTGGGGTCTGTGTAATGGTGTCTGAAAATTATTTAATGTAAAAATGACAGATGCTAAATATGTGACAAGGTTATGTGATAAGCATTTGGAATTTACTAAATAAAGAATATTTATATTTGTGAATGTTTAGAGTCATTAAGTTTTTACCAGTAGATGGCAGCACACACCCACTTGTACTTGTTATCAGCAGTTACCTTACCAGCTCAAACATAAAGTAGGAGGTGAAGAGACCGGATAAGTGTGTCCAGTGTGTCCCTCTGGATCCACTGTGGATGGACTGGACTGTAGCGCTCTGACCGCGTCGACGCTGGATGCGTTTGATTCAGGAGCACATCTTCTCTTTAGATCACAGCCTCACATCAGCGGACCTCGGAGAACCTGCCGGGCGGACCACAGCACTCCACGGGGCTGCGGGAGCAGTAGAGCCGGTGGGGATGGAGCGCTGGAAGGGCAGGGTCGCGCTGGTGACTGGAGCCTCTGTGGGGATAGGAGCGGCCATCGCCCGGGCTCTGGTGCAGCAGGGCATGAGGGTGGTCGGCTGTGCTAGGAATGTCGACAAAATTGAGGCAAGTTGACAATCGCCCTGTCCTGAATGAGTCCGTGCTGCTGAAGAGGATCGCTCTCTGTCCCCACATTCGGCTAACAGTAGCGTAACTAGCATAAAACACGTTAGCTCCAACTACAACTTCGGACCTTCATGCCATAGTATAATTGGTGTACTCATGTTTTACTACACCTGTAATATTCCTGCTTGGGCTGCCCAATATAAGTGGGATTTTTACTTTTTAATAATCAAAAATAGATTATTTTAAAATAGTAAGTTGGTTTTTTGACTGATTTTCATGTTTTTTTTATTGTGTTCTCCGCAGCCACATAGCTCCAGATTGACAACAATTGAAATTGTTGTTTATGATCCTTTTACTATTTTACATTATTGACTGAAAGCTCACACTTCCTCAGTACTCGGACCCTTCCAATTTATTGGGATACTGCAGCTTGACCCTCTTATTTTCTTAGAATTGATTAGCCATCAATTCTGCCTTCTTTGCTTTTTTACAGCTCTGAAATAGTAACGGCATAGTGAAAAGTCATAACCTTATTCTTCCATTCATCTGTTGTTGACCTGTCTATCTCAGTCTTACTATTCTATAGTACATTATTTATATTTACTCACTTTTATTGTTTTACATTTGAAAATGTGTTAGTGCATATTTCTGCTGCTTGTCTACACACCCCATTGTTGTGCAATGCCACCCTCCATTCATACTCTGGTCACATGGCACTACTGTCAATAGTTAACTGCACTAGCTTGCCTCTGTTTAGTTTGTGCGCCTCATACAAGGTCAGTGCTCCTTTGAAGTCTCACTGTAAAGTAGATTGAATACAAGATGTTTTATGGTTGGAGGGTGTTGTCATGGCTCATATTAATTGCTGTTTTATCTTTTTATTGTTCTGAAATTGTCACTTTATGAAAATAATGTCATCCCCACTATTTCATCTTTCCAGCCTTGGGAACTACACAAAGCTGTACCACATTTTACCATTTAAAGATAGGTCCTTACTACATATTGATCAACAAGATATCACCATGGTTCTGATTCCTTTCTGATTTGTCAGATGTAAGACCTCAAAGATACATCTGTGTATGTGGCACCACAAAGCCAGTATTGTCCTCTGTGCTTTGTAAACTGGGCTTTTGCTGTACTGCTGCCCAGGCTGCCCTGCTCCTTGTGGGGGATGCAAGTGTCCATCACCAAACAACTGTTCTTGACTCGCTTCAATAAGTTAAAGGCTGCCAGATCTGTTGAATAGTTTCCTTACATTCTGTCACAGAGAGTAATGAAACTCTCTTTCAGTTACGTTGTGAGTTTTCTTTTTTTTTCATGTCATGAAGAAGGCGCCGGCCAAGTGGAGCTGTGTTGTGGTATTGTCCAGTGTGTGAGGATATGCAGTGTGGGGGGGCACAGGCGACGTGTGGTCACCATGGGCTGTGAACTGGAATGGAGTACATAAGAACACATCCAAGTAACTTGCCTCAACACTCCGTAACCTCAAACCAGTGAAGCAGAATAGATAGATTTTGAGCTGCATTTAATGATCTGAAACACTCAAGATCAGTCCACTTCAACCGGAACACAGCAGCAAATATTTAGTAGAAATTATGATAAACATTTTTTCACATCATAGATTTTGAATAGACTTTTTAATTCATTGAATATACTAAACACAATTGGAACTGGAAACATTACCAAAATATAGACAATAATATCACATTTTTGCATCTAAGTATAAGTGTATCATTAAGTATTTTCAGAATAAAAATACTTCCAAAAGACCCGATTAAGGTAAAAATAAAACTTCACAAAATCCCAGATTACAGATAGGTTGAGTTGTGTGCAAATCTTTGGGACACTGAAAAATGCAAGCTATGTAAAGCTTATAAATTGTCCATCTGTTGGGTCAATAGATTTTAGAGTGTTGTTTTAAATCTCTGCATGCAAGAAATCTTTTAAACATGTATCAGAAAAATTGATACTTTCATAATATAAGCCTGACATTTAGTGCACACGCCTGGCAAACTGACAATGACACAATCCTTTGAACAAGATCATCTTCATACCGTATGGAAGCCGCCATAGAACACAGACAATTAGTGACTGTGTGAAAGCGTCTTGAATTACTTCTTTGCTGGGAAAGCTTAGATAATACGATCACCGCTACCGTATTATTAAGTTAGATTTGAAAGTGTAAGACCGGCTCATGCTATTCGATTAGATGCACTGTATCTTTAGAACAGGCTGTTTCAGTGAGCAAAAAGCTATAAAAACATGCACAGTAATAGAATTGTGCGTTCCCATTAGTGCCCCACTGTGTTGCTTGAACATAAAGTCCTGGACCAGCGTGAGGCCAGATCCGGTCACACTATGCACCCAGTCATGCATCAAACACAGAAAGGTGTTGTAGCTGCTGTTGTAACTACTTTTAGAATTATGTATGTATTTGTTGTGTTTGTATGGGTGGATGTGATTCTGCTGCGACTGGACACCTGAATTGTCTCTTATATGGGATCAATAAAGTATATCTATTTATCTCTCTCTAGCTAAAGTAAATCAGCATCTCCCTCTCTCCTGTCAGCACTGTACACATTTCAGTGTCTAGCCAGGCCTGTCCTGTCATTTCACAGTGAATGAATACACACCAATGAATGCAGAGGGAGCCTAAATTGGGTCAGGTCAGGCGGCTTTGTCTGCTCTGCCCGGCTTTGCTTTTTGACTATTGAAATTTGTATCTCTGAGTTTTTAATCTTGTTATGCTCGGTTCTACCTGTGGGTTGATGCCTTCATTATCTGCTGTATAACATGTGCTTATTCCAAAAACACATCATTTAGTCATCCATTTTTATTTCCTGTGTTAAATTTCCCGTGTGGTCATCATCGTGTTACCTGCTGGTTTGTTGTGTTGTCATTCACCCAGAACGATTTTCCACTCTGTCAGCGCGAGTTCATGCGGAAAAACTCAAACAGTATTGGCGCCTATGGTGTAGTTTATACTATCGCACGTTTGCTGTTTTTTGCCTCTTGTCGCCATGTACAGACCTTACTTGAAATGTTCAGTACAGCATTATGTTATTGAACATTTGTTTGACTTGAAATAAAGTAAAATGTTATGAACAAATCAGACCACAACATGCTGCACGCTAGAAAACTTAGTCATCTTCTGCATATTTGTCAGAAAGAGCTGACAGCTGATTGGCTGAGTGAGGACGATCCCGTCTTTTTCAATTTACTGTCTTGAAAATCTGATCTAAAATGTAACTAAAGCATCAAATGGTTGTGAACCAAACTGTTTAGAGGCTGAGGAACTTGTTAGATGAAGATGAGCTGGTTTCTTTGTCCACAGACCTAACCTAACCTGTCGCCACCCATTCTTTACTCGGAATTATTTTGAAGCCTTTCTTCTGAACCCTCCAGGAAAAGGTTGTGAAATCATCATGAGCACTACCATTGCTTCTATGAGAACTACCTATTGCATCTTTACTTCACAAGTATTTTTACTATACAGCTCTTTTTCCACATGGCATAGGGGCTTTGTTGTGCGCAAACTGACATTACATAACATGAGTTCACTGAGTGTAGAGTGTAGAGTGTAAAATGCAGAAAATAGAAGGTCAAAGGGTTTGACAAAGAATGCGGACCAAATTGCTGTCATTTTAATAGCAACCAAAATACGTTTTTTGGGAGCACAGTAAGATTAATTTGGTTTGGAACCCCTTCTATGTATCATTTTGTATCTATTGTCTATTAGTAAGTAAGTAGTAAGTAAGACATTTATATACCGCCTTTTCACTGCACATCGGAGCCCTGGTCCAACCGGGATTCGAACCCAGGACCTTCTTGCTGAGAGGCGAGAGTGCTATCCACTCAGCCACCGTGCCGTGCCACCCAGTAGTTAGTACAGTGTTTCCCAAAGGAGGTCTGTGAGGGCATTCCCGAAGGTATGCCATAGGTGTCGTGTGATATCAAATAAATATATTAGTCATCCGTCAACAGGATTAGTAAATGGTCATAGAAATTGGAGTGTTACTTGATTTTTGATTATTGATAATTTTGTATGTAATTTTACATTTGAGAGTTTACCATTACCAGATCTGTGTTATCTGCTTTGCTGCCTAATGTTGGGAGTTCTTCAATGACTGCTGGTATCACATGAAGTGAAGACATGATGAGACATGAGATTCTAGCTGGCTCAACAGAAACAACACCAGGCTTGTTTTACCTATCAACAACGAAATTTGTAGTAGTGTATTTCCCATGTGAAAACTCGTGAGCATACAAAACACTCTGGGTCAGTTTGAGAGTTTTTTCATTTAATATGCTGAGAAAATTTACAGCTTCAAGTCTTGTCTCTATAAGCTTTTCAGATTTGTATTGTGCGTACTGTAACTATCGTCCCATGTACGGTGAAGATTCCTCCATGTGAGCTGGAAAGTGACCATGGGCCTCTCTTTTGCATCTGTCATTGCTCCTCCTGTTCTTATTGTTGTCTCTGATGTATTCATAGGTTTTCACTTGTGCCACACTTTTCTGCATGTTGTATTGCAGTGTGTGTTGTATTCTTTGGCACTGTTAAGTCTAAAAATATTACTCTTTTCACTGGTGGTATACTATTGTACGCACAGCTGCCCAGGGGTAGACTGCCCGAAGCAAGGTTACTAATCTGTGCCATTGGCCATTGGCTCCTTCGACCACCAGTCCACCACGCTCTTACAAGGAAATGGCCTTGCCTAAGTGCACATTGTCAATTTCTTGTTTCAGCTGCAACTGCCGCACTGTAGTCTCCCATCGCAGTGTTAACTAGATCCTGCCCTGCTTAGCTTCTGAGATCTGACAGGATTAGGCTTTCACATGCAGGTGTGGTTATGGGTTTTTAACTAAATACCAAACATTTGTCTAGTGTTTCTCATTATTGTGCACAGACATTAAATATTTGGTTAATGATTCAAAATCAGTAGAAATAGGCCCTCTAAGGTGCGGTCATGTGCTTGCTGTTTTTATCTTTCCATCTTGATTCGGCCGAGCGTGGTGTAGTAAAACCTCCCAGTCCAACCTTTAGACCTTTTAGTGTGAGTCATTTGTCGACTGACGGAGATAATCACGCAAACATCCCTTCTGCTCTGCTGCAATCCTATTATACAGCCTGCCACAGCCTTTGACCCCCGCACGGAGCTACACTACTATTTTTATATCACATTAACTAAGAAGGATTAAATATAATGTCATGAGGTTGTCTAATCCCAGTTTGACAAGGTCTTTTTGAGATCCATGTCCTTAATTAAACCAGAAACTTCAGTTTTTGGACTTGCTTTGTCCTGTAATCTGGATAAATGCCTTTTCGCTACTTTTGTTTTTTGTCTCTGGTCGCCTCATTATCCTCCTGCACAGTTTCGGAGATTTGTGGATGTGCGGGGTAATGGGACTAAATTGCTATTAATCAGAATTCTTTTTTATTGCCATTGTACGTAACAGGACATCCAAAACTTCCTTTGGTTCAAGGTGCAAACCAGAAAAGATAAAAAATAGATCATGCATAAGAAATCTTAAAAACAATATTCTTACCCCTTAATAATATTTGTTTGCTTTGCTTGGAAAAATTCAGGTGCAATAGTCTATATAAGCACCGACTCCCACTGATGACTGCTGTCGTTGTGTCCTTGGGCAAGACACTTAACCCCACTTTGCCCAAAGCCCCCACTGAAAGATCAAGGCTATGCTCACACTCAGAGCAGCCGTCCTCCTGTGGACTCACCACCTGCAGAGGGTCAGTGAGGGGCTGGTGCTATGAGACTTGGGTGGCATCTCTGACTGCCACCCCCCTGACCCAGAAATGGATTAAAGGGTAGAAAATGGATGGATGGATGGATAGTCTATATAAGCTTCCCAATTTTATGGATTGAAGTGGGTTTTTTTTGGATTGAGGTTTTTAAATTTTAATTTCCACAGCCCCAGCTCCACCAGGGGACTACGCTATTGAAAACTGGCAACAAGGGTCTAGCCCCCAAACTAATGTCCCTGTGGCTTATCTTCAGTAGCTTATCTTTGGCACCCCTGAGTGTGGAAGTTTGGCACTGCCCGTGGGTATTTCACCCACACGTGAGCAGGCGGACACTTCCTGTTGGACCATACGAGCTGCCCCGATGCTCTCTCAGCAGCAGCTCATAAAGAGACTGCTCTGTTTTGGTCGCTGATAACTTTTATATAAAAATAATTGACGCCCTCTTATGCATGTAACCTGTAACTTTGTATCGTCTTAATTCATTTTTTATTGAGTGGCTGCATAGACTATGCAGCCACTATATGCTCTCCTACTGTTTATTCTTCTTCTTCTTCTTCTTCTTCTTCTTCTTCCACTTCCGCCAGATTTTGGCACTTTTCAGCTCTTCAACGCTTACACCAAATTCAACAAATTATACATCGTTACGACCGGCTTCACCGTCTCATTATTGCTATTACTTTTCACACTTCCACCTTTAGCACTTTTTCAGATATTAACAAAAGTTCAAGCACTTTTTCCCATAGACTTACATTGGACCAGTACAACAGATTACTCCCCATACAACACATTACCACACTAACAATTCATTACCACAGATACAATACATTACAACATCTTACAACACTTACGGCACCTTACAACACATTTAGCACTTTAAAACTAATTCAACACCTTACAACACATTTATCACTTTACAACAAATTCAACACATTTAGCACTTTACAACAAATTCAACACCTTACAACACATTCAGCACCTTACAACACATTCAACACCTTACAACAAATTTAGCACTTTACAACACATTCAACACCTTACAACACATTTAGCACTTTACAACAAATTCAACACCTTACAACACATTTAGCACTTTACAACAAATTCAACACCTTACAACACATTCAGCACCTTACAACAAATTCAACACTGTACAACACATTTAGCACTTTACAACACATTCAACACCTTACAACACATTTAGCACTTTACAACAAATTCAACACATTTAGCATTTTACAACACATTCAACACCTTAAAACAAATTCAATACCTTACAACACATTTAGCACTTTACAACACATTCAGCACTTTACAACAAATTCAACACCTTACAACACATTTAGCACTTTACAACAAATTCAACACCTTTCAACACATTTAGCACTTTACAACGTATTTAGCACTTTACAACACTTTCAGTCCCTTACAACACATTCTTCTTACTTCTTCCTCTTCTTCCCCTTCTTCCTCTTCTTTCCCTTCTTCCCCTTCTTCCTCTTCTTCCTCATCTTCCTGTTCTTCCCCTTCTTCCTCTTCTTCCCCTTCTTCCTCTTCTTCCTCTTCTTCCCCTTCTTCCTCTTCTTCCTGTTCTTCCTCTTCTTTCCCTTTTTCCTCTTCTTCCCCTTCTTCCTCTTCTTCCCCTTCTTCCTCTTCTTCCTCTTCTTCCCCTTTTTCCTCTTCTTGCTCTTCTTCCTCTTCTTCCCCTTCTTCCTCTTCTTCCTCTTCTTCCTCTTCTTCCCCTTTTCCTCTTCTTCCCCTTCTTCCTCTTCTTCTCCTTCTTCCCCTTCTTCTTCTTCCTCCTCCTCTTCCTTCTTCGTCTTTCCTCTTCTTCCCTTTTCTTTCTTCTTCTTCCTTCTTCATCCCTAACCCTTCCAACATCTATGCAGCCACTCACAATGGCTTCAGCCATTGTACCATTTCTAGTTCTTAACTAATCTCTACATTTACTTTTTATCTAAGCGTTGAGGATAATATATGTATTATTATTAACTCATTCACTGCCCATGACGACAAAACTCGTCATGTTGAATAGTGACGCTCACTGCCCATGACGAGTATGACGAGTTTTCCGTGTTATTACACGGGAGGCTGCAGTAATGTCTGGCGCACCTTGTGAATGACCCACAACACTGATATATAGTGCAAATGTACCTGTAATGATAAATCACCACCAGTAGGATGCAGTATTGCACCACAGGAGAGGTCATAAGTCAGTGGAGAGAAGGAGGAGGAGTGTGGGGTCTTTGGACAGCGTGCTGCTGTAGCAGAGCGATGATAGCGTAGTATTGAGACGGATCAGCGATCTAGTTTAGCGATAGTATAGCAAGAGTGATGGCGAAAAAGAATAGTTATAAGCAGCTGACACTGCTTCAGGGATTTACTCGCGGATCAGTGAGTGGGGTCGAGAGGGGAGAGAGCGGAGACCCCGGTGGAGGTCCGTCTTTGCAGCCATATTTGCGTGGAGCAAGAGCCCCGAGCAGAGACACACCTTCCGCCTCTCGCAGCGTATCAGCTGCTGCTGTTACTGATGCCTCGGATTCGTTCAGAGAACCTGATCATGATTTATCGGACACACTCACACGCACTCACTCACTCACTCACTCGCACACAGACACTCACTCACACAGACACTCACTCGCACACTGACATTCACACACACACACTCAAATTCACACGCTTCATTCTATTTTATACATCTATAGTTTTATTGATCTTTGTGTTGTTGTTGTTTGACGTTTTGGTTGATGGTATAGAAGAAAGTTAAATTTTCTATCTGTGAATAAATTGCCAACAATTTTCCATCAAAAGTATTATTTCAGAGTCATGTTTTTATAATTTTTGTAATGGAACAAGTGTGAAGATGTTTTGAGTTGTCACTAAAGCAGCAAAAATGCATCTAAAAGTCTCTTTTCTGCTTGATATGTTCCTGTTTACATACAGCTCGTTTTCTCTGTTTTCTTGCTCAGACCAGGTGTTATGGGTGAAAGTATGCTTTGTTCTATGGCAAATAACGCAAGAACGGTAAGAGGTAGAAACAAACTGTTTTTTTCAGAGTAAAGCAGAGAGGTTAATCTTTAATTTGGTGCCCTTGGTGTTTACATCGTCTAAAAAATGAATATTCTGTGGCACTTCAAAGTTGGGTCAAATCACCTGAAATTGCTGGCAGAATGCACTTCTCAAATCTGAAAATGCCTGGCAGTCAGTGAGTTAAGGTCCAACACGCAGATTTTGTTTATTTTATTTTATTCATTTCTTTATCACAAGTTAAACGCATATTGCCCAGATTAAGCCCAGACTCACTCAAGGAAGAGGGTTTTATAAATACAGTAAAATATGCAATACATTAAAACATTGATAAGAACTCAGAAGTCCAGACTTTGACAACAGAAAGTTACGTTGTTTTTTTCTACCACAATAAAACAAGCATAATTTGTATACAATAATAACATACAGTATGCAAAGGGAAAGCATTTAGAGTGCATGAAAGATAAACCATTATTTCACACATTTTGAATTTGTTTAGACAAGTACTATTACAAGAATGCTAACTTTTGGTCCCTTACTCCATATTTGGCATCAGGTGACAAGTGGAGGTGTGTCTAGTGGAAGTATTTAGCTCTGATGCCCGTGTGACCTCTTTTGGGCAGTTTATACAATCCCATGTGAAAATGATGTGATACTGCATAGACCTGCCTAACCGGCATCTGATGCTATTGGGTTAGTTGATACAAAAGTCACAATTCCATTCTTCCTGTCTACCATTTTTATGTGTTAGAGTTATGAAAAGAGACTTAGCTTTCATCATTTGCGAGCCTCTTAATGCTATAATTGTACATTAAAGTAAAAATAGTTGTGTATTTTGTTTGTACGTTGCAGAAGCTGGCAGCTGAATGTCAGAGTGCGGGCTACAGTGGCACACTGATCCCTTACAAGTGTGACCTGTCCAACGAAGATGAGATCCTGTCCATGTTTTCAGCCATCAAGACCCAGCACAAAGGAGTGGACGTGTGCATCAACAATGCTGGTATTGCCCACAACGAACCCCTACTGAGCGGCCTCACAGGGGGCTGGAGGAACATGATCGATGTGAGTGCAGCGCTCATTAAAAAGACATTCACACTTGCACACACACCACATCTGCACTAATCCTGTGTCAGACCACCACTAAACCAGAACACAACCATTATAAGAACTACTCTGGAATAAAATCAGGACAAAACACATACTTAGCTGAATATTAAGGTGTCATAGGTGATCATTGGTAGTTTATTATTATTAATTATGTCCTACTGTAGTAATGGCCGCCAAGCTATACCGTGTCAACATCTCACAGACAGGACATTTATGGTACATCTGGAAACATGTTCTTCTCAAGTCACGCAGTGTCCCCCAGGGTTCATTTCTTGGTGTCATCAGCAGTAATCTTCCAAAGTTATGCTGATGATACACAACTTTACATCTCCATATCTCCTGATGACACCAGGACAAAAGGGAGGTTTCAGTCATTGTGGTCCAGAAAAAAACTTATTTGCCAAAACAATAAGCACATTCCTTTACCCAGTGAAACCCCTGCATATTTTTTGTCTGAGTTGACATTTATATCTCACATAACATCATAGATATGTTTTAATTATTTTAAAATGCATTCTTTTATCACTTTTCATTTAGGCCGTCTTCGCTGCAGCACATCTTTTCAATAAAACAAAGAAAACAAACAAATACACCAGCGATACTAATCTAACATTTAGATTTTTTGATTTATTAGAATATTATTATTATTATATTATATTATTAGGACTGTGATTCTCCACTCCACCCCATGTGACCTAAAACCAAAGAGCCCCATTCTTGAAAGCGCTGAATACTTTTCTTCCTCTACAATGAGAGCCATGAAAGACCATTCACACTTTCCTCGGCCTCTTCAGCGTTCATAGGAAACATCCATCTGTTGTCATGGCAGCCCTGTCATTTGTACAGCAGTATATTTTTAGCCTGTGGGATCTGTAATCGGACCCTGTGTTCTTTGGTCGACTCCCATCCGACTCACTTCTGTGACCCTGTTATTTACCATTGTGGACATGAGCTAGTGTCCGGAGCAGACACTGATCAATACATCTGTGGCTATTTGTTGCCTTACCAAACTGCCGATCACAAAATGTTAACTAATAAGGCATTATACATTATAAAACATTATTAAAAGCCTCTACACTGATTAATTTAAAACAAAACAGTGAATACAAATCGATGTCAGAGTTGTAAAATTGGTTTCCTGTTATATGTATGAATATGGCTTTACTTTCAGGTGAATGTTTTAGCCTTGTCTATCTGCACTCGTGAGGCGTACAAATCTATGAAGGAGAGAAATGTGGATGATGGCCACATTATCAATATAAACAGGTGAGAAACATGAACGACCTTATCAAAAAGTTGTGTAGAATTGATGGGGAATGGATAGATCGTTTATTGATTCTTATAATCATCAACAATCATTATGCACTGTGTTTTTACTATTGGCAGAATCGTCAAAAATAAGTTAATCATAAAGAGTTATCATACCATTATTATTGCATCAGCATTGTTCCAAGGCATGTCCTGGAGATGAATGAAAATGCAAATGTGTTTCAGTATGGGAGGCCACAGAGTCGTGCCAAGTGCTGATGAGCATTTCTACTGTGCCACAAAATACGCTGTGACGGCTCTTTCTGAGGGCCTCCGACAAGAGCTCAGAGAAGCCAACAGCCACATCAGAGTAACGGTACATACACATACAGAACGTTGTTCTGTCAGTTGTATTTAGTAGGATATCAGGACGTTTCTAACATTCAATCAAAGAACTGATACTATAATATTGTTTTGGCTATCCTACTTATGCATTACACTGTTTTATAGCTTAAGTGTTGTGAATGTCTTTGTTTCCATAGTGTATTTCACCTGGAATTGTAGAAACAGAATTTGCTTTCCGACACCTGAACAGTGACCCGGAGAAAGCAGCCTCTGTGTATGCAAGCATAAAAGTGTGTTACACCAGTTATATTATAAAATGCATCATTATAGCAATTACTGATTCTTTCTTTTTCTACGTTTTCAGTGTTTAAAACCAGAAGACATTGCAAGTGCAGTGATCTATGTCCTAGGTGCACCACTTCATGTGCAGGTTTGCCGTTTGTCTAATGTCCACTGACATGTTGTGTACAATCGATAGTAAAGCTGGTTATCTTGACAGATTGGAGATGTGCAGATGAGACCCGTGGAGCAGGTTTCTTAGCAAAGGAGCAGGAAGCACCAGAGGAACACCCAGAGGACCCAGGAGGAGGAGGAACTGGCACACGCACTGGAAATACTTAGTGACCTCTGCTGGAGAGTGGGGGTACTGTAACAGTTAACCACTTTGACAATACAGGGACAGTACGGAGTGTGCTGACGTAATGAAGGGACTGTGTAGGACCTGAACTGTCCTGAAGGTTCCGGACGTTCATAACCACTACAATTACACTACTGAATGCCACAACCTTTCATAAGGGATACTTATGCCGGGAATGACCTGAGCTAACTCCAGCCTAGGAATACTTAAGAGAGCTGCTGTATACTGTGTGGTTGTCATTTACTCTTGACCATCACACTACCACACTATCGGGGGAAGAGTATGCCACTGATTGCACATGTTCTACCTATTTGTGTTTTTGTGTTGTTTCTTTCTAGGCCTCATGACATATCTCTTTCCTATTCACCCAGATGAGTAATTGCTGTTTATTTGAATGCTCAATGTCCTGCACCAAAGGCACATCCTTGTGTAACCTGTATTTACCATTTGTCTTAACACAGAATGATCCAATAATATGAATTAATAGATGTATCAATCATTTTTATCCAGGTGGGGAAATGACACCAGTACCTGATATGTGTTTCAGTCTTGCACCTTGAATTTAGGAATGGGGAACGTTATGAACAGAGAGATAATTAACTCTGTGCACTTGTACTTTAAACTGTGTGACTATACTCTATAAATGAATTTAAACCATCGTTCAGGAGCAAAGATCCTTTCTGCTTCTGTGTTTCTATAGTCACTCAACAAAAGCAATGCACGTTATGGACTGTGTGACAAGCTTTTTAACCTGAACATAAAAGCTGCATGATTCATGTACTCCTGTTAACCATCAACATATATGATTCTGTCCGGAATGTCATGTCAACTAATAAATGACTCAATAAATGACCTGTGAATGTTTCTTACACGTGTTACTGTTCATCATGATTCAGTGTGGCCAAAAGATGGCAGCATTACTCTTTGTATTAATAGTCATTGCATTTTATTACATTTGTAGTAAATGTCACAAAAATTATGGGCTCATAAACATAACCACTGTTTATCTGCATAGCAGATACTGTATGAAGCAACACACCTACAGAACCAAGCAAATGAGTAAAAACAATATTTAAATAGTAGAAAAACTTTTGATCAACACTGACATTATTGAGTTATCTTTTTTTTACATACAAGCCACATTTGATTAGCCATCAAAGGTTTGTCTGAATTGGAGGCTTTTCAATTGAATACTGAGAAGAATTAGTGACTGCTACTGCTGGAAACATGCCTCCTCCTCTCTCATAAGACTTCTTTGACATTTCATTCAGGGCACCTGGTGTGATGGACAGCATAAGTCTCTGTGGAGAAAAGAACTGATAATATTGGCATGTGGCATTCTTGATGCCTTTATGAAATGTAATCATTCATTACCTGTGTGAAGGAGCCAGACAATGTCCACAGTGTGTGAACAGCCCCCAGAGGGATCCAGATGATTGAGGCCAAAGCAATAACCCATCCCACCCCCTGTGCCCAGGGAGGGAAAACATAGTCCCCATACCGTGCTGGTTTGAACTGGATTACAGAGAAGACAAGAATCACCTGAAAGCAAAAGAATATTTTTTGGCTTGTTAGTTGTGGATCCTCATTAGTGCAGTGAAGCTGACGCTATTAAACATTAATTTGACCAGACTTACAGTTATGAGCAGAGGATCAACGATGAGCCAACAGATTCTGAAGAAAATATTAGCTCTGCTTCCAGTCATCTCTAGTAAATTGTCTGACAACCGTTTTACACCTACAGAAAAAAGCAAACATAAAGCAAAACTGTGTGCTATTAGGAAAATAGGCCATCCATACCATAACACCAGCAGGTTGCTATTATCTCAAAAAAGGCCAAGAAAATGATAGAAACGATGGCAGTGTAATGGTCCATCAACTGGAACACGTATATCCCTACCTAGACACCAAAAATTGAAAGGTCATTTAGTCAAAGCCGAGTGCTCATGAGTTCTCATTCATGCAGATAATGAGAATATGGATGGAACCTGCATGACAAAGGGGATTCCAAGAAGACTCGCTGCTCCACAAATGGCTAGAATAAACAGCTCTTTTCGCTTGAAAAATGTCATCAACTTCTGCTCAAACTCATCCATCAAACTGGTCACCATCACCTCCACCATTGCAAACTACATCAAACCACAAGCCAACATTATTTCAAGGGGATTGTTGTCAATATTGTGTTTTACTTTACCTCACTGTCCAAACCAAGACAAAGCAACATGAAGAAGAATAACACAGCCCACAATTGAGGCAGAGGCATTTGAGCAAAGGCTTGTGGGTAGACGACATACACGAGGCTGGGCCCTGCAGAACAAGAGCAAAAAATACTTCTCATAAACCTGAGCAATACATTGTGGTTGCAGTTAGCACCATCGTAGCAACGCTGGGAATAAAACATGAGATAGATCTATCCAAAAATATAACTGCCTATTTATGAACACATTTGCAGTCTGGGTATGAGTATGGAATCCCACAGTACCACAGTGAAGTAATGTTAACAATTGGGTTCTTTAAGAGTTTGTAATTTGTATGTTTGTAAGAAAAAATAGACAAAACATGTATAATATTTATCTAAAGAATTGTAAGACTTGTAAATACCGTCCACTGCGAGTTGGCTGACAGGAATCCCCTGTAGGTATGACATATATCCAAATGCAGAGAAAATCACAAACCCAGCCAAGATACTGGTGAAGGAGTTTATGATTGCAATAGTCAATGTGTCTCTGCGAAGGAAATAGTATGATTACATAAAAACTGGTATCCTTTGTGTGATTTTCAGTTGTCTTTTTTCAGTACTTGAGCACATTGTTGTTGAAGGAGTTGTAGCTTGACATGGCAAGTAGAGAACCAAATCCAATTCCGATGGAGTTGAAGATCTGCGCCGCCGCATTCACCCACACCTGCGGGAACATGGAGCGATTATCCACAAAGGTCCATTGATTATTATGGCATATGTACTGTACACAGTGTAGAGTAATCCATGAATTGATTGTGGATGTTGTCTGCTGTGTTCTCCCATACCTCCACAGACAGCAGCTTGTTCCACTCTGGCACAATAAAGAAGGTTATTCCATCTAATGCCCCAGGAAGCTGCACGTTATTGATCAGAAGAGCAACCAGGATGACGTACGGGAACAGAGCCGTGAAGTACACAACCTGTATGCAGAAGGATTACTTTAGAGTGGGTTAACTTATAATAGTGTTTCTTTATTTTTAAGAATTGGTGGTGAAACTGATATTTTATGACCCCCAAAACCATGCAAGTAGTAATTACAATCTACAACAATAAAAAGCAATATTTTTCACATGTCTACTTTAAGATAGTTATAAAGCATAGTTACTTTTCCAGTTGATTTTACTCCTTTGAAAATACAGAAGTAAATCATGATCCAGGCCAAAATGAGGATCAGAAACAGCTCCCATCTCAGAGACCCTGCTTCCTCCACACTGTCCGTTTGTTGTAGCATCTTATATCTTAAACAAAAGTAATGAATTTTTTTTTTTTTTCTCAAAGCAGTATACATTGATATATTCCACACGACATCACAAACTGATCTGTAATGTCAGTTATCAGTCATTAGTCATCAAGTAATGTGTAGATTTTGTATTTTAGATTTTCTATCTTAAATTTGTTTGTCTATCTACTTGTGTTGATGTTCTTACTATATTATATGTGAGCCACTGTGCCCAAGTAACTCCTCTTGTGGATCAAAAGGTTTGCCCAAACATGGTTAATAACTATGAGCATAATCTGTCTGTCACCTTAACATACGTGTAAGTGTTAGGGGATTTAATTTGCCTTAAATATTGTTTTCTTTTATAGATGATGGGATGAAAGAACAGTATCAGACAGCTGCAACCTGCATTACAATTCAATGGTTGATTTTTCGGTGCCTTTCAAATGTCTGGTTTTACATTTACATAACTGGCCCAATTAACGTAAAAAACCACCAAACTAGTGAACATGTGTCACACTAGTCACCGTGGTCAGTTTTCATTGTTGGAAAGTGATCTGTGATGCATCCCCTCTAAAGAGTGACAGCATCCTCTAGCCTAAGAAAAAAACATATAGTTACTTTTAATTTACTTTATCAATTAAATCCCACATGACAGAGTTAAGTGTCAAAATCGCATATTGTTTGCTTGGAAACATAGCAGTGACTTATTTTATATTTTTGTGCTCCCTATGTGCTCTTTCTACTGTGCTGTATGTGCGCTGCAACATTGAAAATCAAAATGTATCTTATCTTATACCCAAGACTTTATTTCTTAGTGTTGATGTGTATTGGGCATATTATAAAAAAATGTAATAAAATGGTGTTATAACATTACACCTCACGTTTGATTATGTTTTGACCCTTAACTATTATCACTAATATCTAAAGATAACTCTAATTATTGCAGTTTATCGCCCTATATGAAGCCATAAATAATAATGTCGCTGTGACTCTGCATTTTTACGCACTGGAAGAACTCCTGGCTGGCGGTGGAAGAATGGCTGTTATTGGTGCCCTGGTTGGTGCAGTTTTCTGTGTTCCAGGTATTGTTGCAGCTTGTCCAGGGTAAAGGCTGCTGGAAGGAGCTGAACAGATAGTACAGGGCCCAGGTGATCACTATGTTGTAGTAGGTGCACATAATGAAAGAGATGGCCACTGATGCCATGCCTACACCTGCAGCAAAAGGTCAGGATTTAGAAAAGTTTTATTCAAAGTAAGTCAAATATCAATGAGTCCATACAACCAGATTTACCTTTCAGTAAGGGGCACACTTTGGCCATGGCATGGACCGGCCCTCTGCGTGTGTACTGTCCCACTGTCAGCTCCATGTACAGTAGTGGGATGCCCAGTACCACCAGCATAAACAGATAGGGCACAAGAAACGCCCCTGCCAGGAAGAGAGTGTAAATGAAGTCATTAATAAAACCTTTATTAGTCCCACAGTGGGGAGATTACAGAATTCAAGAAAGGAAAGACTCAACTATCACAAGTTTAGGGATAATCACATCAATTATTGAAAAGCTGTCACTAAATTAGTAATTGGATGATGTTGATGATGTAAACATTGCCTGGATAGGGGTTATAACTGAACCAATTATGTTACAACTTCTTTCTATTTTGCTGTGGTTAAATCTAAATCTAAAAATCCCTTATTCATTGGTCTTTCATAATCCAAACAACCAATCGATTATATTTGAAAGATTGAATGATTAAAGGTTTTTCCATACAGTCCTCCACAATTTGTGTTAAAATATGACAAATATATGGCCTATGTCTGTAAGCTCAACTACTACCGAACTTAGGAATACCTTAAAAGAGTATTCAACATCTGTAATCAACTACATGTAATTTATGAGGCTTCTTGGCAAGATGAAGTATTCAGAAAACGTTGGGAGACATATTTTCATTACATATCAAACAAATCTGCATAGAGGCATAGATTCTGGTGCTTTCAGGACTAGAAAAAAGGCTCTGATGTAAAAGTAAGACAGGTAAGAAAAAATACATAGAATCATATAGAGTAGAACTTGAACTGGACTCACTCACCTTTTACCATAATAAAACCTTTGGACTCATGTGTACATCAGGTGTTAATGGTTAAAATTGTGTTTCTCACCTCCTCCACTTCTATAGCACAGATATGGGAACCTCCATACATTGCCCAGACCCACAGCACAGCCGATGCCTGCCAGGGTGAACTCTATCTGCCGGCTCCACGTCGGTCTAGCTTTCTCATCCATCTCACGGTGCACAAGTCCTCACTCCTCACACAGACAAGGATCCCAGTGGCCGCAGGTCATTTATCCTTACTTCCTTTTATTATCTGTAATGATTACCCTACTTCATGGCTTGTTGCCACGAGGATCACAAATTGACCAGTGGCTCTTGTAAATGCAAAAGGTCACAGAATAGCTAAACCATTAAAACTTGACTTAATTTTTTACCTTTTGTCTTTCACTCAGTTGTGGACAAAGTTCCAAGTCAATGAGAGTATGTCATGAGGGGGAGGGGGTGTTGTATATAACAGTGACATAAGGTGATGTTGAGTAAAAGCCACAAACTTCAAGTTATGCCACGACTTCGACCAAAGGCCTATTGTTACAACCTGGTTTGGTTATGCATTCTCTGAAAAGATTTTTGGTTCAGTTCAGTGTAATCATCACAGTAATGTCAAATCATTGATCAGAACTTCACGTTTCAAAAGATCAGAGAGCTTATTCTCAAAATAAAAAAATTAAAATATTATTTTCATTTATCATTAATATATTTCATATACTTATTATCACCTGTGCCACTTTTAAACAAATAGGTTGCTTTTGTTTTTTACATTTCATTGGAAAGCAGCAATAGCTTTGTAAGGAAAATGCACTATTTCAAAGAAATGTCCAAAGTATTTCTCAGATCATTGTTTGATAGTGAGTTGTTTCACAAACCTACCATATGGTTCTGTTTGAAAGTCCTGTCTACTGGCCAACATCATGCATGTTTTTTGCGTATGACACCATTAATTGCTAAGAAAGATGTTCACAGTTTTGTTTTGTCATGCGATGTTTTGAAAACAAATCTATCCGAGATCAAACAAATACGCCCCCAGTTTTTGAATAAGAAATGAGTCTTGGTCTTGACCTCGTGGGCCTTTTTTGGAATTGCAACTGCGGTGTTTAGATTAGATAGTTGGGTTTCAAAGAAAACAGAATCAGTTGCTCTCTTTTGCTGGGGCCTGTTGCTAGAATCTAGTTACTCAGAGTAGTAAAGTAAATTTTCAGTTACTGAATCCAAACAAACAAGGAGGTGGCGAGGATTACATTTTAACATTTTCAGTGTTTTCTTAAATAATTTGGTAAATATCTCTGCGAAATTAATGAAATGAACCCCCAATCCTAAATTCCTTCATCACAGCCTAGTTGGTATTGCATTCATGCGAGGTCAATGTACTTCGGAAATGGAAAAACAAACGCAACGCGAATTTTAACCATAGACTGTATGTTTTAAAAGGTGCTCGTAGAAAAGAAGAGAAAACACTAAAATAGTTATAATTTCGTGTCAAGGCGCATTTCCATCGACAGCGAGAGACCACTGGCCAAAGTTTAGAATGATCTGTAAAGGCAGTTATGTGTACACATGGAGCGCTTCGACATAAGAGCGCGTGGATCAAACCTTGAGGCATGGCTTTTATTTTGAAGCCGAAGTGAGACTACGCACGCGCTCAGTACTTCCGCATGACGCTGTGTTACGTCTGTGTCGAAAAGTAGCAGCAGAGGTGGGAGCGGCCGCGCTGTTGTCGTGAAAAATAACGAAATACCGTCAGATTAAGACCACAAAACGTATTCCCAGCGTGTTTGACTCGTATATGAGCCGTTTGTGTTTGGATTGTTCGTTTTCCTGTCGGTAGAAAATGGGGAATTGCCACACCGTTGGACCAAATGAGGCCCTGGTGGTTTCAGGTACCGTAAACGCTTGCTGCTGTGATCTGATGTTGTTGAGACTGAATCCTCGTAGAAAACAACAAATCCCATCATTTAATTTAGTCATGTTGTGTTGGGCTGCCTACGACACATCCCATTTTAATAATGAATGATTCTCTAGCGCTAGTCAGGCGCATAGTTACAACTATGGATTTACGCGTTGTTGTTTTTTCCCCCCAGTCCATTATTTACACCAAAGACTGGTCTCCTAGTAGCATTTTACAATCTCTTCCATTTTGTATAATAATCAAGTGTGTTTCATTATTTTGTAGGCAAGGTGTCAATTTTGTTGTTTGTTTAGATATATGTTGTTAAACCATATGTTATTCGCGTTATATATTTACCATTCATCATGTGTCATACCATTTTGTGACAATAAAATGTAATATGGAACAGAGCATTAACGAAGCATAATGTAATTAGATGTCTTAGTAATATTATGAATTAGATCTAGATATAAAGAAAGTGGCCACGTGTGTGTAATGTTTATTATTTATTGCATATTTTGGTTTACGCAGCCTTGTATAGTGTGGATGCAGCAGTAATCAAAAGAGTTAAATTGCACAAATTGTATTGGAAAATGTACCAAGGCTGCTCCTGTTTTCAACGATAACATATCACTTATATTGTGTTGTGTCAAACTTTAGGCTATCTGTCCTTTATCTCTTCATCAAGACAATTTTCATTTTCCTAACTTGATATGGTTAAGCGCAGCAGAAGAAGAGTATTTCAACTGCTCTCCTTCTACTGATATGGTTTCTGCGTGTTTCCTGTTTAAACCCACATTTGCTTATTGAAAACAACCTTTTGTATTTTCCATTGTGAGCAAACCAATACATCAGTCATAATGAGGCTGACCTCCTCATGACCAGAAGTAGGATAAATAAATGTGTGACTAATGAATGTCTGAAACTAGTGGACACAATTATTTGAAGTTCTCCTTGATTGACTCTGGCATCTATTTTCCTTTAGTAAACGTTACTGGTGGTAGTTCTGCCAAGGGGCGGGACTACATTTATTGTAAAATATTTTCTTTACAATATACTACTGGGTCAGGCTGGGCAGTCCAAAATAAATGATGTTAGTGACCTAATGGCCTCTCACAAATGTCTTTGGAATGAATGCTGTGAGGAATTCAAATTATGCCTCCAAGTGATAGGCCATAGTGTGCCATGCCCCACGGCATGCTTATTTTAACTTGTTTGTTTGTTGAAAGTTGAACAGTTTAATGTGTGTTTGTGAAATGATTCCTTAATGTAACTGTTTTAGTCTAATCCAAGTTCGGTTGAATCAAATCAAGTTATTTTTTCACAATCCGTTCGCTGTTGATGATTTACTATTTGTAAGTTAGAAAATCAAACCACTAAAATAAAATTAATCTCAAAAACAAATTATTGAAATGAACTAAAAACTAAAAATCTCAGGATGTAAACCATCCCAGGCCATCGCCTGTTCTTAGACCCTCCTTCCTTAGCAAAGACTTACGATCGAACTTTTTATAAAAAATTATTGTTTTGTAGTTCTAAAATGGTTTAGATGTGCACACTTTACAGTAAATATGTGGTATGTTGTGTCACTATTTTGACACAAGTGGATTTTATGGTAGGATTAGCGAAGATAAATATAATTTTACATTTGATCATAGTAATGGTCATCCACACACCTCTCATTATCCTGCTATAACGGTTTGTTCATTACATTTGTTGTTGAATGTATAATAAAAACACCAGATCAGATATAGAGCAGATGTACAATCCAGATCACACTTTTCTCTACTTTCAACTAAAAGTATTTTTTTAACTAAACATAAAACATATAAAATATGAAATATTGTCAACTCGCCTTTGCAGGGTCACTAGAAAGTATGTGACTCCGTAATGTTAAATCTATTTAAAAAAAATTAAAGTAATAATACCAACACTTAGAGTCATGGGCCGTTGTTACAACGTACATGTGTATATCCCAACATCCCCCTTCCCCTTCAGTCTGTCTATTAACGTGTGACAGCTGGGAATGTCACACCAGATTTAACAGCACAGGGACCTTTTTGGATGGACCATTTAACTACAGTTTCTTTTAAAGACAAAGTTCTCACTTTGGTCTTGCACTAGCTGGCAGTACCATGAAACATTGTGTCTTCAAATGTATTAGTCTCATGACATGATGCAAGACCAGAAAAACCATGCTGATTTTCAAATGGAAACATTTTGAGGACTTGAGCCATGTTGCAGAATTGAAGCAAATGATTAATCATTGACAAAAACAAAACAGTAGTCAATGTTTATTTATCAACTGACTTCAATATATGGTTGGTTAGTTTATAGACCAAATAATCTTTTTTGTGGGCGGCACGGTGGCTGAGTGGATAGCACTCTCGCCGCTCAGCAAGAATCCCGGTTGGACCAGGGCCTTTCAGAGTGGAGTTTGCATGCATGTTCTCCCCGTGTCTGCGTAGGTTTCCTCCGGGTGCTCCGGTTTCCCCTACCACTAAAAATATGTACAATAGGTATGGCATGTGCCTCCTGTACTGGCACCCCCACCCAACAATTGTAAACCGCTTTGAGACTCCGATGTGCAGTGAAAAGGCGGTATATAAATAAAAAGCTTACTTACTGCTTACTTAACACATTTCAATCACAAGATTTGTACTTTCATTCATTTCATTTCATTTTCAACCCCTTGTCCATTTCTGGGTCGGGGGGGTGGCAATGAGAGCTGCCACCCAACGCTCATAGCACCAGTCCCTCGCTGATCTTCTGCAGGGGGTGAGTCCACAGGAAGATGGCTGCTCCATCAGTTGAGAAACCGCCTTGATCTTTCAGCGGGGGGCTTCAGGCAACGTGGGGTTAAGTGTCTTGCCCAAGGACACAACGACAGCAGTCATCAGTGGGAGCAGTTGGAGTAGGTCCCATGGTGGGAATCGAACTCACGACCTCCAGGCCCAAAGGCCATTGCTCTACCAACTGAGCTACTGTCGCCCCCTGAGATTTGTACTTGTGTATCACAATTAGGGGTGTTAGAACATACGGTTTTGGCGATATCGCAATATATAATCCCAAGTCTCTCGTATACATTCAAAATAAAAAATTGCATATATGATGTGATATATCCTTGGGATATATCACATTGCATCATCATAGCTCCTGATTCAAGGCAATACACACCCCTGATACATATATCCAGATACCATAGTGGGGTTATATTCTGGGATGTTTTCTAACCCCGCTGTCAGCTACACAGTAGTTTAAGAAGACATAATAAACAACTATTCTTATGAGCACAGGCAGAGCAAATACAATACTTTAGTTACAATTTAGATTTTTGCTACAAACAGTTGAACACGTGTGTTTCTGGTGTCCTCAGGTGGCTGCTGTGGCTCAGATCAAAAAACCTATGTGGTGGGAGGCTGGGCCTGGGCCTGGTGGCTCATCTCCGACATCCAGAGGTAAGTATCCTGCTCCCCTCTCTCCACTTACAGCAACAGAGCCAGTGCACTGAATACTTAACAGAGTGAAGGCCTATAAATGCAGGGTATGTACAGGCCCGGCAACATGTTTTTTATTTAAGTAAGACTTTGAATGCTTTTACAGCCAAAACATGTACAGACACACAGCAGGAAACAAATGTAGTATATATTCAACAAAACGTATCATAGGAAGATTATCTACTTAAATTAAATTTGAAAACCCTCAAATTTTACATTTTACCATTGCTGCATTTGTGTTTGATCCAGAGAATTAAAACATCACTTCAGTTATTTATTTATTGTCCAGTTTATCTAGTTATAAATACTGTTGCTTTCATCAAACCCTGTGTTTGCTAATCTTTGTCCTGTCTCGTGTCCCATTAGTCTGCTTAGATATTCTGTTGTTATCCTACTTCCTGTGTGCTTGTTTGTTGCTAGGAGACCTTACGTTAAACATATGGACCGTATTCTCACTTGTTAATCATTAATATTATGAGTAGCCACACCCATATATTAAATGTTTCATTATGATTTTCCTGTCCAGCTTTCCGTTTGGTAAATGGGATAAGATGTTTACCAAGGCCACTTGAGTTAAAAAGCCTCGGGTAGAAGCCAGTGGCATCTAAGACGAAGAAGGACTTCCTGCTTGTGATGCAGTAATCATGTTAATGTTCAGGCCATGACACATTGATCCAATTCTGCACAAGCAGAAAGGGAGGGGCAGCAGTGGACCTGGCACAGTCCTGTGTACTGCAGTAATACCACTCTTTCGAGCTGTTTCTTAACCATTTTATTCATTGGCTGTCTTATTAATATTGATGAAGAGGTGTGAGGTCCCCTCCCACTTAAGACTCCTATTTTCAATGAACCAGGTAAAAACTGGTGCTGAATAAAGTTTTAGAAGGAACAATATTCTGTTGGTGCATTTATAAATGATTTCACCAAAAGGAGGACAAAAATGTGAAATTAAATCTCTATAACTAAAATGAACTAGAAATGAGCACCAGGAAAAATCTCAATTTGAGTAGATTTATTTTCCAGTTCTATCCTAGTCAATATCTGCTATGTTTCACATGTGACTTCTTGCACATATATGAAAATCTATGTGCCCCAAATCACTGGTAACTTATTAAAAAAGGGTCTATTTGTGTTTATAATTGTAGATTTTCCTGCTCTAACTACATAACACCTTTATGAGAAAAAGTTAAAACTATGATGTACTGGCTTTGGTTCATACAGTAATTATTCCTTTTAGATCAGTGGAAAGGAACTAACAGAAAACTGGCCTCACCAGTAGCATCAAACCAACACTCGACCCAAAACCTTTTCCAGTGTTTCGGTACATCCCAGTTTTACTGTCCTCAATTATTTTGAAGTTACTAGATTATCGTAGTTAATCATTATTACAGCAAGACATTCAATCTAAGGGCCTCATCTGGCAAGCGCCATTACATTCATCAGGATGTATCGTTTCTGCCCAATTTATGTATGTATTTGGAAAGTATTCAAGTAGAGTATACAAGTACAGTAAATATTTGTTGCATTGAAGTTGCGTTGCAAAGAGAAGCCTGCAGGTGTGCGTGAAAGCTGCTGATCACGCTTGCCTTCCGTTAGGCTTTTGGTCTTTTTCCTCCAATTCGAAATTGGGGTCGCTTTCCTCCTTCATTTCCCCTAACCCCGGTCACTGACACTGCTAACAGCTGTTGTTCATCTCACTGTTTTGCCTATTCCTGCTCGTCTGCTGCCTGTGCAGAATGTCTCTGGAGGTTATGACCATCCTCTGTCGCTGTGAGAATATCGAAACTGCGGAGGGTGTGCCCCTGGATGTGACTGGGGTTGCTCAGGTAATCATCTATACCAGAGCCCAACAATCAGGGGCTGATGCTGCTGCTGGACTGGAGGAAAACATACGCCCGCTTCACTAACAATCTAACTCTGTTTTCATTTAATTAGTCCTGACTTTCTCTTGCAGTTCAATGGAGACAGTCAGACAGACTGTTTGATCATAAAACTGTGCTCCGAGTCACATGTAGCAACAGAGTCGCAGAATGAATGCTTAGTTATGACTGATTTTTGGTTGAACTAAAAAGAAAACCAATTATGAAAACCCACTAAAAGGAAAAAGGAAACCTAGGCATCTCATTTGGCTCTGTTGTTTGTGAAATGGAGTCCTTGGGTGAAAGGGATTATTCCTTGTGTCCTAGTCCTTCCCTTCATTTGCTTTTCCCTCCGAACATGCCAATTTTTATTTTATTTTTTCACATTCTTCACAGGATAACGCTTGAGATTATGACCCTGCAGCCCAAGTGTGAGGATGTAGAGACAGCGGAGGGTGTAGCTATTACTGTCACTGGGGTGGCTCAGGTAAAGCACCACACTTTTCAGGGAATGCTTCGTCAGACCTCCCTAACCGCACGCACACGCCTCATGTCCACCAGGGATTTCCATAGGGGATCTTCACACACTGTTTCATGTCAGCATGATTGACTTTCACTACAAGATGTTTTTAGATTTCCCTCTGATTAATAGCACTGTGACTCAGCAGCGTACAAACTGTTTGTAATCGAAGCCTGAGGTGAATGTTTCATCTAATCGCTGGCTGCTTGTTTGTATGAACACAGTGCTGTTGACAGTCTCAACATGAACATCTGTAGCAGGGTTCTAAAGCCTGCTGATCATCAGACAGAACTAGGTGGTCACTCGATTAATCATTAAACACAAAAGAACTGTTTGAAGCAGAAAAATGTCCTATGATTAGAGGAAAATGTGAGAAGTGGTGGACTCGTGAATGTCGCACAATCCTAATGAATACACCATTAAGATAGCTTTATGTGCCTTGCTTACAGCCTTCCTAAGTGGTCACCTAGCTCTTCTTTTTGTCGTATTTCTGTTTCTCATGTCATGTTCAGTGCCAAATTCATTACATGTGATACTTCTTTTGTTAAATGCATCAGTTTAGGCTTCTGTGTTATGAATGTTCATTTACATTTGGGGAAATGATCAATATCATGTTTTCGTACATGTTAGTGGTGGTTCTTTTAAAGTTATCATTTGTTTTGTTTGCTAATGCGCTTCTGTAGGCATGCCTGTTTCACTGTCATTGCCCATCAGTGTGTTATGACCTCTTCCATGTGCATGCAGACAATAGCTCATGAATCACACGTCCACGCACCTCAGGCCTCTGTTTAATTGGCTCACACTAGGTCATGGTAATGGTGGTGTGTGTATCCTATGGTCTCAAGTGACCATATGTGAAGGGAAATTGGGCACATAGAATATAAGAAGATATGAAGTCTTTTTGATCATAAAGGACATTGTTGAAATTTGTTTAGCTTGAGGCTAGCAATGGTCAAAGGGGTGGGGCAGGAAAGTAAGAGTTACAGGAATGCATCATCGCTTCCCACATACTCCAACGTTTGCAACCAAACAGCTCCCCCTACAGGCTGAGTGTGGTTGGTCGACTTGCAGCCCTTGCATTTTCAGAATTATGATTTTTGAGAATGATCTTCATCTGTCCCTGACATTGTGTTTCCCCCATGACCCTTGGTATGTGTGCATGTACTGACCTCTCGCCTAAGGACCCAGCTCACCTTTTTTCTCTTACAGCAGTGGAGTGATATACCCAAAGCTTCTTTGTCTTGTTTTGTAGCTTCACGTAAAAAATAAAAAATATAAATACGAAAACATATACTATTGCAATGTTTTTAAATATTTAACCACAAAGGTGTCTGACTGCCAAATATAATTCATGGTTCTCAGATTATAGCCAGTGTGTTAAACCTCCTATAATAAACAACCACATTTTAGAGAGTCAGCAGAGAAGATGTGTTTGAGCTGTTAATCTGATGTGATTTCTGATTTAGGTGAAGGTGATGACGGACAATGATCTACTGGGATACGCCTGTGAACAGTTTCTTGGCAAATCTGTCATGGAGATCAAGAGCGTCATCCTGCAGACGCTGGAAGGGCACCTCCGTGCTATACTCGGTGGGTCTCTGAGTCTCGTATGTAAACTTGTATGTCACACGCAGTATTTAATGTTGATTTTTGTTTCAGGTACCTTAACTGTTGAGCAGATTTACCAAGACCGTGACAAGTTTGCTTCTCTGGTCCGAGAGGTTGCGGCGCCTGATGTTTGCCGGATGGGCATTGAGATCCTCAGTTTTACCATCAAGGTTTAAAACGCAACAACAATTATATACAGCTTTGAAAAGCACTGGACACTATGTTTTGTGTTTTTGTTCTGTTTCTTTGCAATAGGATGTTTATGATAAAGTGGAGTATTTGAGTTCACTCGGGAAAACTCAGACGGCAGCTGTGCAGAGAGATGCTGACATTGGGGTGGCAGAGGCGGAGAGAGACGCTGGTATCCGGGTAGGCTCACATTAGTATGAGTTGATACGCCACAAATATTTTAGGTAAGAATCATTTATCATCGTCCTGGTGTTTTACAGGAAGCTGAATGCAAAAAGGAAATGATGGATATTAAGTTTCAGGCTGACACAAAAATGGCTGATTCCAAACGAGAACTGGAAATGCAAAAGGCTTCCTTCAATCAAGAAGTTAACACTAAGGTATAATTGAAAACAGTTTTTTCCTTCCAACTGTTTTGTTTTTTACTGTGGTTTCCAGCTCAAATGGGGGGAGTCCCATGGAGCTCCCAGGTCAGACATAGTCCCTCCAGCATGTCCTGGGTCCTTCCCCAGGAAAGTGTCCTCAAGCATCTGAGAAAGATGTCAGCTGGCCCCTTGCAATGGAGGAGCAGCAGGTCTACTCAGAGCTTGTATGACTGAGCCCCTTCGTTGCTTTCTATGGCAGTGTCCAGCCTCTCTTGTCTTTTGTGTCATCATCAGTCATTGTAGTTTGTTTTATCTAACTTTCATATGAAAGCTAACATTTAAACCTGTCTCTGAAGAAAGCAGAGGCTCAGCTGGCATATGAGCTGCAGGCGGCCAAAGAGCAGCAGAAGATTCGTCTGGAGGAGATTGAGATCGAGGTGGTGCAAAGGAAGAAGCAGATCACCATTGAGGAGAAGGAAATCGACCGCACAGAGAAGGAGCTGATAGCCACTGTGAAGAGACCAGCGGAGGCAGAGGCCTACAAGATGCAGCAGATTGCTGAGGGACAGAAGTAAGCAGGACCTCCTCACAGGTTCATCCTGGGTGTTTCTCTTCTCTTTAACTGAACTTCTGTCTCAGGATCAAGAAAGTGCTGACTGCTCAGGCTGAAGCTGAGAAGATCCGCTGCATCGGTGAGGCTGAAGCCAACTCCATCGAGGTTGTGGGTAAGGCAGAGGCCGAGAAGATGAGGCTGAAGGCAGAGGCGTATCAGCAGTACGGAGACGCTGCCAAGACTGCCCTGGTGCTGGAGGCACTGCCCAAGGTCTGCTGGGATTTAATAAACATTTCATTGAATTCATGTTTGATATCTTATCTTTAGAGACATGCCTAGTTTTCTTAATAAAGACCTGATCATAAATGTAGGACCACTTGATGAACATACTTTGCCTGTTTTTGTAGAAGTAGATGTAATCTATATGCAATAAGGCAGAATGGGTGATTAGAAGATACTGAAGAAGCAATGTATTGAACATAACACTGAAACTGAATTGAGCCAATCATAAGTTTAAGACCATATCCCTAAATCTGTGCTCATGGAGATTCATTGTAAGCTTCCGTCAGCTATTTCCACTGTCATGATGTTCTGCAAAAAAGTTCCTTTTAAGTTGTTATTTTGTTGAACTGCATAAGCAGGGTCTCTCCCAGTGCGCAGCTGTGGTAGGACAAACAAGTCCTACCGTTTTATAATCCAACCATGCAAAATAACATTGAAATTTGCCTTTTGTGAAGTGGCCCTACCTCTTTACCACCTGTTGAATGTTGTACTACTTTGTCACTCACAGATTGCTGGTAAGGTTGCTGCACCACTGGCCAAGACTAATGAGATCATCATCCTGAGCGGAGAGAGCAACCGAGTGACTGGAGAAGTGACCCGCCTCTTAGCTGAACTCCCCGTGTCTGTGAATGCACTCACTGGTATAGACCTGACCAAGGTTTGTTAACACTGTCCTTTCATTTATTCTTTGTGTCCATATCCAACAGTGAACACAGAACAATCACACACGTTTGTCTGAATCTTTTAAACTAGATTTGGCAACAAAAACACACTAGGCAATTCACCGTAGAAGCATATTTATAAAACGGGGGCCTCCTCAAACTCATGACTATATAAAACAACATATCAGGATTACTTTAGCGACGCTTGTTTTTTATTGAGATTCACTTATCCTCCTCCAGATGCCGCTGCTGCAGAAGATGACTGGTGCGGCTGCAGTTTGAAGACTCCCTCAAGCATGAAAACATCCGTTGTGTTCAAACTCGGACCCATTTATGCAATTTCATTTGACCAGAGACGCCAAACATTTTTAATGACGTTTTTTTTTAAGTTGCTGGGACCTTACACCATAAGGACCAGACTATTAACATGTTATTAGTTGTTATTTTAGAGCAGATCTATGCTGTTTAAGAAATAATATATGTGGTTCTCTTTCTACATTTGGTATATTTGGGAGACTAACCAGAATAGAGAATTTGTATAAGGTGAAAATAACTATCAAGATTCATATTGTAAAAATGAATGTTTAGTTTGCACTGCTTTCAAAGTAGACTGAACTAGTGTTTTTATTTCAGCATGGGGGGTTGTGTCGCTCTGCCTGTTCTGTAATAACTTTTCGGTTCATTGTTACATGTCTTCTACTGTGCAGTGCCTGTTGACCACTGAAGTGCCCAAACCATAGGAAGCCCTTTTGGTTTTCATTTTTGTTTTTTTTGTTGTCGTATAGTATGCCACTGTGTTTCCAATAGATTTTAAACTCTTTACGGCTCACTAACAATATTCCTTTTCTACTTTCCCTGCGTCACTACGTATACTAAAGCCATAGACTTGCCTTAAAAAACTCTGGTCACCCGCCAGGCTTACTGACGATTTCTATTACCTCAAGTAGCAAATGGTAGAGGGACAGGGTCTAAGCTTTACTTTTTCTTCATCCTTGTTAGATTTTCTGTGAGAATATTCGAGAATATTAATGAGAAAGCTAAAACGGTGGTAAGGCTGGGGCTTTAGATGGAAATGAAGCATGTGATGGCATTTATGCATCATGATCCTTGTGGGTTGATTGAGTTTTAAAGTGAACACGAGATGGCACTACCACTACACCCATTTTTAACTGTTATTTCACAAGACAAGACAGGTTAAGTGCAATGTGAACGCTTTTGCCTCTAGAGGGCAGGGTTGTTGCTTGATAGTTTCTCCTGTTTTTTTGCAATACTGTTATTTTGAGCTTTGGAATTGTGAGACGTCTTTCTTTTCAGTCATTTCTGTTTGTATTTCATCTTTTTTTACTTTAATCATAATAGTTCTGTAATCTACACATGTTTACTGTTACTGTTAGAATTTGGATGTACAATTGTGTATAATTTGTTTGATGTTTCTGTTCATGATTCTCCTAGTCAGCTATTGTAACGACATGTAATCTTTTAAGTTTCTGTGGGCCAGTATTTTAGAAGTGACTAAACTAGTGTGGCTCCTTGTTACAAATCTATTTTCTAGTTTTGTGGTTCCATTAAGTCTATGTAGACAGTTTCTTTAAATCAAATCCTACATGATTTTTTATTAGCTAAACTGGTGCAGTAAATGTGAGCTTTATATATGTACATCATTACTGGCGTTTTTAATAAACTAATATTTACTGACATTAAAATCAAGTTTTTAATCGTCTTCATGTGAGAAGAAAGACCAATCACTAGGAAACTATGCCTGTATTACTCTTGTCTTGAGGTTTGACTATGATAGAGCAGTTTTAATACGTAGCTTATCTAACACTGATCGTTGGGAAAATGCATCTACAGCATGTGTTCATATAATCCACTTTATCTTGTGTGTGACTCTACTCGGCCATAAACTCTGTATCAATGTCTGTCTGCAAATACAATATTGAAATAAATATCACTTTGTTTTATTGTGCACATGTTAAATCATTTGCAAGTCATGGGAGGGAACGCGGCCATAATTCCAGAACAAAAACAGAAATGGTACAAAAGGAAAAGCACAAATGTCACTCATTGTTATAGACCCAGTTTTTAACAACAGAATATGTGACAAAATCCATGTAACTAATTCTATAGAGGTTTGCCTATGCACTCACTATGTGTATATATATATATATATATATATATATATATATATATATATGTATATGTGTATATATATATATTGTATGTGTATGTATATACAGTGTATATATATATATATATATATATATATATATATATATATATATATATATATATATATATATATATATATATATATATATATATATACATACAGACCAAAAGTTTGAGTCTCAATGAGTGTCCTTTCTTATCATATTGACTGTAGGTACACACCCAGGCTGTGTAAGGGCTATTTGTCCAATAAGGAGAGCGGTGGGGTGCTGGGCCAGATGACCTGGCCTCCAGTCACCGGACCTGAACCCAATCCAGATGGTTTTGGGGCTGGACCACAGTGAAGGCGAAAGGGCCAACAAGTGCTAAGCATCTGTGAGAACTCAGTCCATTTCAGGTCCTCTTGAAGCTCATCAAGAGAATGCCAAGAGTGTGCGAAGCAGTAATCAGAGCAAAAGGTGCTACTTTGACGAACCTAGAATATAATACATATTTTCAGTTGTTTCATACTTTTTTTTTTTTCAATATACATAATTCCACATGAGTGAATTCATAGTTTTGATGCCTTCAGTGTGAATCTACAATTTTCATAGTCATGAAAATAAAAAACTCTTTGAATGAGAAGGTGTGTCCAAACTTTTGGTCTGTACTGTATATAAATTTATATATGTATAGTGAATCAGAAAGTCAGAAAGTAAAGAAAGAGAGTGTACCAACTAAAAGGTTTCCTATTTAAGGTGAAGGCAGCACATGGCTAATCTACGTTCCCACCCTCACCTACTGTCACGACCTTTGGGTAATGGGTGAGGAGTTCGGTCACACTGGAGGAGCTCGGAGTAGAGCAACGGGAGCCAGTTGAGGTGGGAATGTCCCACTGGGAGGGGACCCAGGACACTCTGGTGGGACAATGTCTCTCAGCTGGCCTGTGAATGCCCCGGGATTTTCCCGGATGAGCTGGAGAAAGTGTGTGTGAATAGGGAAATCTGGGCGTCTTTGCTCAGACTGCTGCCCCCGTGACCCGTCACCCGGCAATGGGTAAAGCGCAAGAAAATGGAACGAAAAGAGCATGTTGGGGTCTGAACCTTTTGCTCTTTCTGTTGGGACAGACATCATGTGTTTAAACAGTTCTTTCCAAAACAGTAAGCCTCTCATTGAGTCACACAGACTAGTAAAATATAACAACAGTTTATGATCTCCAATCTGCAGCAGGTCTTATCGCCTGATGCAAACGTGGACTTGCAGCTGCAGATAACACAGCACATCACCGGCCCGTTTATCTGTCTCTGCAGGAGCCCCCCTCACACCCACCATCAGCTCCCACGCCCAGACCAGGAAGCACAGAGCCATAGTACCTCACATGATCCACCAAAACCAGTCCACAAACGAACACACAACCAGCATCACAATCGAAGCATTGTCACTATAATTTCTGTTCTAAAGCCATAAGTTATTATGATGTAGGTAGTTTATTATGTGGAGGCAAGCAGCTTCAAGTGTCTTGCTCAAAGGCTCAAGGAATTTTAATAATTAGTCAAGACACAAGAAAGTGATGTTGTAACATGATGTTGCACATTTTCGGCAAAATATCTAATTGAACTTGAAAGGGAAAAATAAAAAACATATTGTATTAACACATTTTATTTATGAAAACAAAAACGTTAACATGTATACACATCCACACACACACACACACACACACACACACACACATGTATTTGTTGTAAAGAAAATCTATTTCTATTTATATAAGTGTGCAGAATAATGCTGACGGCACTGCCAAACTAATAATGGCAGTCTTTGCAATCTACTGTACTACTCAGGTCAGTCGATGTTGAAAACAAATAACACAAATATATAAACACATTATTGGTGAGAGCATGGAGTCGACGTATAAATAACTGCATTGAGTTTATGCAAAGCAAAATACTGAGCATGATGGAATGATTAGAATGCCTGAGTTTGTTACCTGGATCCTGTTCCTGCCAACCTTCAGGGTCAGCCCTTGTAGCAGTGAGACATTCTACAGGTCATGGTTCCCTGGTGAAAACTATATGTGCAGATATGCTGGTCTGCCAATATGCCCACATGGTTGACCTGTGGACTCCAAGGGAGATAATATCATGATTATTGGATGTTTTCCAAATATGAATTAAAATTTTCAAGAGCAAATCTTTTCATATCTCTCCATAATCATCTACTGATGAAAATTTGAATTCATATTTGGAAAACATCCAATAATCATGATATTATCTTTTGTATTTCTGTTCTGTATATGAATTGATGAATGCTTTATGCCGAGCCATGGCAAACAAGAACAAAGAACAGCAACAAAACAACAACAGAATAGAAAAAGACACAATACGTGACAATATACAAATATGCATGTATATATGTTTTGTTTTATAAACACAAATCCAACTTGAAAAGGAGCGGGAGGAAGTCAAGATTTTACATGCCAGTTCAATTACATACACATTCTCTTGTTTACTTGCTTCTTGCTGGTTTTACACTTGGTCTTATTTGTTCTGTGGCACCAAAATGTGAAAGCCTGATCCTACCAGGCCTCGAAAGCTAAGCAGAGCAGCGACAGGTCAGTACTGTGATGGTAGACGTCTTCGGGGCAACTACTGTAAAGTACCAAGGCAGTGATTTTCCACTTGGATGTTTTGGTCATCTGAAGGCCAAAGCTACTGGTGCCGTGGCAGGAGTTGATTTGAGTCGTCCATGGTATAAAATCAACATCCACGAAGCAAATCTTTGGTTGTGTTTTTGTAACATCAATAAAATGTCTTTTGTGCCTGTACATGACCCAGACCCCCGCCTCGTTTGTCATTCTTTTCACTTCATTAGTTTGAAAAGACCAGATATAACAAAACCAAAAAAGAAAAAAATAACAATGGATGCATAATCTCAGTAAAGACCAACCTCTGTCCAACTGACCAACCCCTTTTCAAACTGTACTTCTGTATCTTGTTTTGTTCTGTATTAAATATACGTTTGAAATAGTCACTACTGTACTGTACTACTGGCAGTGGAGGGCTCTAAATCCCACAGATTACACATGGGTTGCTTTTGTTGATGCATATTTATCTAACCATAATATATTCATACACACCAACTACCATGCTTTTTCTCTCAAAACGTATATATGATGAATGAACTTGACCTTAAAACAGTGGTGTAAATCTGACTGAAGCTGAGGGTGCACTCTGAATATTTATGTTAATGACTTGGCATTGCCCTATGTATATTTATCAGCGTCACAGGAGAAGAATATTTGGTTTTAATAGTTTCCACAAAGCAGTGCAGCAATTTCAGCCTGTGTAAGGAAATGAACATCGAGGAGTATGGATGGATTTTCTGTACCTTTTGACAGATTGCAAAAACGGATCGAGCACTGTCTGTGATGGTGAATAAGGCTGATACACGTAATAACACGACATCCGATGATACACTAAATTGAGATTGCGAACGCGCCGGTGCATAAATCCATGAGATGCAGGATTAAGAAGGTTTTAACAGTCGGTGAAGGCTGGAGTTATTGGCAAATTATGACATAAAGCTCCTATCTGTTACAGCTGAGATCATTTCTTCATTTAGAGAAGGGAGGGAATCAAACCTGACAAGAAAGCTTAATATTGAAATAATAAATAACAGGGACATTATTGAATCTCGATATCACTGAGCACAAGAGGACTGGATTTTATAGAATATGTCATGACAAGTTACTGTAATTGCCAGAATCTAAGCCGCTAGTCTTTTCAACTCTGTGGCCTTTATACCAATGCAGCCAAGATATGTTTTTTATTGTGGTTTAGCATCTCCCAGGGGGACTGGAGGGAATTTGGACACAGCTCTGTCAGTTTATGTTTTTGTGAACAGCAGAGTTTTTTATGTGATTGGGACTGTTGTTAGAATAGAGATTATGGACTTATTGCTTTGACTCCCTTCACGTTTAGAAGCTATAGGATGCACTTTTATTCTCAAAATAGACCCAACATGGAAACTAACAGTTCATATTTGCCTCCTCAGAGTTCACTGTGTTATTTACAAAACTTTGTCCATAACAAGTCACAATCGGTTGGTTATGTGTCACATTACAACATTAAACCTGCGGCTTATATGTAAGTGCAGCCTATATGTGAACAAAATGTACTTTCTTGAAAAATGCGCTTTTTATGTTAATATCTAGACCTTTAGGCTTTAAATCCCACCTTGACACCTTCTCCACCGACTCCCACTGATGTCTGCTGTCGTTGTGTCCTTGGGCAAGACACTTTACCCCACTTTGCCCAAAGCCCCCGCTGAGAGATCAAGGCTATGCTCACACTGACAGAGCAGCTGTCCTCCTGTGGACTCACCACCTGCAGAGGGTCAGTGAGGGGCTGGTGCTATGAGACTTGGCCCCGACCCAGAAATTGATTAAGGGGTAGAACATGGATGGATGGATGTTCATATCGCCCCATCTCTTAATGACAGATTCAGATTCAGGTGGCACATGTTTAACTTGTAACCTCAGAAAGTGAAATCATTAAACACCAAAGGAATCACTGTTATAATGAGTGAGTTATAATTAGTTAGTCCACAAAATGGAACTATGTAATAAAACCCATCTTACTATTTCTTCTGTCTTTGGTTCAATCACTAGTTTTCACATTTATTTTTGTTCTTTATCACATTTTTAGATTAGCTTTTTCAGACAGAGACGTGAAAAAGACCCCCCTCACTCATCTATGAGCCCAAAGCTTCAAATTGCGACTCACAGGGCTCTGTGACTCAAGCGTGCAAAAGATAAGAATATTTTTTTGTGGTCTCTTTTGTTCACAACATTTCACTTTTACAAGGCTCTTTCCGCTGAGCAAAGCAAAATGTATGAGTTAAGAAACAAAAACGATGGGTACCCCAGCTGTAATACATTTCAAACTTGTATGCACAGGATTTCTTTGGAAAACAGGGAAGTATTTCTGCAGTAAAGGGCTTCTCGCTGCTTGCCCTTTGTCTGAAAGTATCAAAACCGTCATGAATCTGAATTTATTTAAGGAATTCTGCTCATCATGAAGTGTATTAATACCGTTATAATTACTAGTATAAGGCAGTAATATCAGAACTGTCTGTTGAATGAATCTCACATCGAGGAAAGGACGTCAAACACTGGTCATTTGTCAGACTTCAGGTGCTAAGCAGGGCAGGGCCAAATTAATACTGAGATGGGAGGAGACCTTAGTAACACCGGATGCCACAGTGGAGTAGCTGTAGAGTAGCAAACTGTCATTGAATCCTTAGGAAAGACATTGCAGCGTCTCATACCCTATAGAATTGTATATTATTGTATGGACTGCACAATATCATAATTTAATTCTTTAAGGAGATTAACTGTTTTGTATTCTGTATTATTGTGTTGAATGGGTGAGAGGGGATTGGAGAAAAATAAGTGTCTGCTTAATCCAATCCAATCTATATTAGTGTGAAGATATTGGAAATTGTGTTCAGTAGGTTTGATATAAAAACAAACTAACTCTCTGGTACAGATAGACGCCTTGTTTCTAGCAGCAGTGACTATAGTAGAATTTTATCATGAATGAATGATACAATGAAATGAAATACAATTCAATTTAATGACTAATAATAGGCAGTAATATTAGAACTTTCCGTTAAAAGAATGCTGGGTGTACATCAATGCAAGGGCGTCACGTACTGGTCACCCCTGATAAGGAAAGTCGGGCCCGGTCCAGCCCAGATGTGATCACTATATGCAAATGAGCGGAGGGTCTTTAAGTGCGGACACTGAGACGGAGCAGTTTGTGTGAGAAACAGCCTCGGGGAATATAGAAAACAAGAAAGTGGAAGATGCACATTTTTGAAGACGCCTTGTGCTCTGGACAGGATATCATCTTATACTGTAAGTTTATAAAATGGACACTACAGTATAGATGATGTACTATCCAGGGTTACATTCCTTCACCTGGATTTGCCATTTTTCTCTCCATTTTTGTATTTCAAACAGAGGAGGGCCGTCAAACCGTTACCATTACTGAGTTTAGTAATGGTAAGGGTTCCATGGCTCTCGCTCAATGCCATCGAGACTATTTTTTCCTTTCTTCAGAGATAGTTTTTAAATGCCATGTCTTTTTTTATTAAACATTGCTTAATAAAATGCTTTTTAAAACTTCTTTTGTAACTGTCTTGAGTGTTTAACCTAAGCTCCCAATGGCCTGGTCTACGCACCAACCTCGAAAAGGGACTGGTCTCTCTAATTCGCAGAGAAGCATATGTTTAAAGGCAAGGCCAGGGCGTTTGAGACGAGCTTTGCCTTTGCTCCAGGCCACTGACTGGTTATTCATCAAGATGGCCCCAATAGAATAAGTGTTCTAAATCTAATCCCTATTATCTGACCCACTTTAGAGTAGTGTTAGTGCCCCATTTCCCCGTCCATTAGGGAGACAATTCTGCCCACGGGGCCTCAAGCATAGGTTTAACATCAGACTAAAAAGGCGCACTGGGAAAACAAAAATATAAAAAGGGGTAATGGTTAGTGTGGACTGGACAGAAGGAAACTGCAATGATTGGATAAAACAGGACGTCTGGGAAGTCGAGCTAACGTGACGCTGCAGATCTAAGTTCATCCAGTCCTGTGTGCGGACAAGCAAAGGGGGAAAAAACTTGAAAGCCTAAAAATAAATAAAAAAGTGTTTTACCTTTCCCATAGCTGCCATAGCTACTCAGCCATGAACCTGCTGTCAAGCCAGTGTCAAAACAGCACTTTGATGTGGGACGCCATCAGAGCGGTTACAGAGAATGCAAGAATAAATACAGGTTTAAAACAGTATTTCATCAGAATGAGTCTTTTCTGTGAGGTATTTATTTAGGTTCATGGGGCTCTTCCAACGGTTGTCAACATTGAGATTGAGAAAAACAAAAGAAGTCTATTCTTCTCCACAGTACAGTATTTGTCCGAGCTGTGGATGTGAATATGACGCTTTGGGACATTTACTAAAACCAGCACATAAAAATGAAGTGGTAGCAGTAAAGTGTAATGGAGTAGATGTGATCTTGATAACCAGAAACTACGCTCAAGACGAATTCCTAACAAAGTGCATTTGTGTAGTGCAAAACCAGTCCGTCTTTACTGGCAGTGTCAGTGGGTCCCAAACCAAACACATCTGGGTTCTTTTCAGGGACAGGTGTTGAATCACATATTTAAAGAAATATCATAAATGTCAAATAAAAGTCATAATGATCCCATTTGTTTTGTCATTTCATGTTTTAGTGAAATAATAATAAAGGGTAGAAAAAATCCTTCTGCCAGTAACTCCCTATGCTACAACCAGAGGGAGTAGTTTAATTAGTTTGAATTCATTTGATTTATTCCAAATTCAATAATTAGAAACTGCAAACACATTTCATTTCATCTGATAAATTTAATTTTTGGCCATTACTTTTGTTCTTAAAGGCAGATGATTGTTTTGATCCAATTACAGGACTGAGACAGGAGTTTTTAGACAGAAGGAGAAAAGGGCCATTTAAACACAATCTAAAAACATATGCAATATTATAAACAAAGGCATCTGATCTGAACGATGAAATGTTATTTCTTTAACTTGACGGAGAGCTTGAGGCGGACTTCTGTCAGAAAGACGTTGCTGAGATCCCCACTCACTTCTTGAGCAATGCGTGCCACCATCTGTCCCGCTGCGCCAATCACCATGCTCTGAGGAAATATTTATATTTTATTCTTTGTAAAATGCTGCATGAAAAATGAAAAGACATTTTTGTAGAAATACAAATACCAGAACATAAAAATGTTATAAAAGTTAAAGCAACTCTGTGCATAGTTCTGTGGCCTTAACATATTTCTGTTGTTTTTGCCATTGAATAAGGAAGGCTGCTCGAATATTTTTAATCTATAAAAGAGAAATATAGTACATTTAAGGTCAGAAGTTTTCATCCTGCTCCAAGAAGACTGCAGTGAAAAGCACTAGAAAGGTTTTAATGACAAAACCTGTTTTGGATTTATCCTTTTTGTCTCTTAAAGAGTCTCTATAAAAAGTATTTCTGCAGTGTCTGTCTTGTTGTGTGAATGAAACTCACCATGTGAGTTTCTTTCTTTGCATACAATCTCACCGATATGTCCACCTCACCGTTTGTCCCTTCATGCCACAGCTCTATACTCTGAAAATAAAATTGTACTTTTATTTTGATAGATAAAACAACAGAGATAAGTCAACACAAATAAACCTTAATAACAGACTAAATTAGTGGTAATATTTACCTGAGTTAAAGAATATGGCACTTCCTGAGGCAAATACTCCAGTAGTTTCTCTCTAATGATGTTAGTACAGATCTGTTCAGGAGTCTGATCTGTCAGGACCTCACTGTGATACTGCCATTCGCCTGGTTTAGCTTTCAGCAGGAAGTAGCCCTGAAACCAACAAGTAGTGGTGGAGGTTTTAGATCAGGAATTTTGTAATCATTCACATGCACAGTAAAGCATTAGATGTACACCTTCAGTGTCTCGACGTCCTCTTTATCCAGGGATGAGAGCATGAAGACGTCTTTGAAGTGTGGCCAGCCTCTCTGAGAGCTCAGCTGCCGCAGCTGTTCTTTACTCAGTGCGTTCCCAACAGCGTGGTCTGTGTTGTTCACATTAGGTGAGGACTGTGGCGTTACATTGGCCTGTTTTTCAGCTGATGGAGGCTTGATTACTGGTCGAACCCGTGTTTTACGGCCATTTACAATGCCACATGTCAGCTCGGCCGTGATATTCAACAGTCTGTCTTTAGTTTTCATAAGGTCAACCTAAAAACAAAAAGGTAATGTAAGGCAGGGGAAGCTGGTAGTGCTCAGTCAGTCCCAGAGATCACAGATAATAACAACTGTATTATCTTCACATAATACGATTCTTCATGAAGAGCATTTTAATAATCAGTAATTGTTGCAGACTAAATCATCTACCTTGTTGAGAACAAGTATGGCAGGGATTTCAGGATGTTGAGCAAGACACTTGAGCACCTCGAAGTCCAGTCTGCCACACATCCATCTGTCGGACACGTCCACCAAAACAACCACTGAACAAAAATAATGTTAAAGAAATATTTCACATGTGATAAATACATGAATTGTGCAATATCATTACCAAGGTCAGCCTCTTTTAAAGTGTTCCAAGGATCTACGAGTAAAGACTTCTCCAACTGGTGTCTGTGAATAGTTTATTTGGTTAAAATAAATAACATTTTGAGATAATAAGAGCATAGTTACCTTTTGACTTTAGAAGGGGTTGTCAGTCCTGGAGTATCCAGTAAAATCTACATATTTACAAACATGTAAATGTTATACTTTTTTAAGAAGTTGCATTTATTATGCATGAATGAATGAATTAATACTTTATTTCGAGCCATGGAAAACAAGGCAAAAGGACCATCTTACTATTTGTGTTTCGTCTTTGGTTAAAACTCCCATGGCACGTGTCCTTGTTGTATGGACTTTCTTAGAAACGGCAAAGAGCTTTCAAATAAATAAAAAGGAGATACACATTTAGACTTAGTCAATAATGAGTAACAAATCTGCTTCATTAGAGGTGGACTTTGGCTGACCTTTCTACCGAGAAGCTGGTTGGATAATGTTGACTTCCCAGCATTAGGAGCACCAATTATAGACACTCGCAAAACCTTGGCATTTTGAGGCTGGTCCGGGTGTCTCATTAGTAATGCGATTTGTTGACCTGTAGAACGGTCTCAAAGTCAGTGAAACAACCTATGTTAACACCTGTGTTAAAACAGTAACTCTTGTTACCACTGTCTGAAGGCACTGAAGCTGGGAGACGAGCAGAGTCGCTCTCTAACTCTGTAAATGTGCCTTTCATCAGTCGGCTCCGCAGTGCATCAGATGAAGTAGACCGGGCTGGAAAAGTCCGGTCAATCCTCCCTGTAAAGACAAGACATCATCATCTACTGCATGAAGGTTTTTGGGAACTATCAATCAGATTCAATTGAATACAAGTCAAAATTATGTAGACATAGCAATCTATGGAGGAATCCCAATCTCAGTAAGACTTTAAGTGTTTGAGCAGTAACAACATCTATGATTTATTATTTCACTATACCAGCTGTGAAGGCATCCCGACCAAAAGAAAACAAAGATGTGTAGTGCTGTAATCAGTGTGGAGCTCAGAGATTTTATATTATCTTATTACTTATTATTGTGTTATTATGAATTGCATTATCTATTATCTTATAGATCCTGTCTTGAGTGCTTTTATGTGCTAATCTATATCCTGCTGTGTACGCAACGATGACATAGAAATGTCCTCACTGTGGGACGAATAAAGGACTATCTTAAACCTACACATGTGTCAAGTCAACCATAAAGTTAAATATAATGACATTTATGTGGAGACATGAGTCCTACATATATTCGTAGCTATTAACGCCAGTCAGATTAAGAGGAACGAAGCTGGAAGTAAATTGGCAGAACTAGTCAAACTCAACTAATTGTTTGCATTAAGAACAAATGATTGTCAATAGTGAACGGGAAAGCAGCACTGACCAGGCAGGAGTAAACGTGACGCGGTTTGGACGCGTGATAAAACAATTTGAGAACAGACAAAGGAGGAACCCGCAGCGATCCGTCCACACGCTCTCAAAGCCATTTCTCCTGAACACTTGTCCTGATGATACGAAAACACAACTCAACGCGTGCACGAATGTTTACGAGCTCATATGTTTACGTTCACATCAAGCCCCGGCGATCCAAGATGGCGCCCTATTCAAATGAATGGTTGTGCTCAGTGGCGCTTTGTGACGGCATGGGGGCTGAAAGATTAGCGGAAGTTGCCTGAAACTCGCAAAGATCTATGGGAAACTCGCCTGTATTTGGGCATAGTCTGGTCCTCCCGGTTCTGCGCAGTGGATGATCTCCCATAATGCGTTGCGCCAAACACGCGTGTGTGGGTCTCACACCGGGTCTCACGCACGTGCACAGAGGGGCTCGGCCGCGCTCTGACCAATCAGAGCAGTTCCTCAAAGCGGGAGTTAGAGCGAGAGCCAGAAGAGCAGAGTTTGTGGCACTAAAGTGTGGATTTAAACAAAACCAAAGGATTTAAGAAGAAAAAAAGTTCAGGATGACAAGGGACACTAAAATCCCCACAAAATCCGATCTTTATGAAAGCTGTAGGTTCTCTGTCAGCTGAGGTTGAGCTGTTTTAATATGCATTGAGTTCTATGGGGAAAATTTCTGGGTGGCCCACGTGAATTTAGTCTGGTTCAGTCTGCAATACCGCGAGAATCCCCTGAGCACGTGAGTTATTCAGCTACAAGCTAGTAATACCCTATCCAGTTAATATAATACATCCATGGTTCACATTGGCCACAGAGCGCGGCCATGTTTGTTTGATCAAAGAAAACACACTTCCGTTTTAGAGACAATTTCCAGAAGCGCTCGAGCTGAACGCACCCCCTACCGACAGGAAGAGGACAGCGCAAAAACAATTAGTCGACATAGATTATTTTACTTGTTAAAAACACGATAGCTCGAACATTTGATTCATTTATATATTATGACGAATGAGGACAGTTTTAGTTGCTCACGATAACAGTAAATCATATCTTCTGAGTGTGTTAAAAGTCATAAAAATATACACAGCCTACCAAAACAGTAATATAACCATAACAATAATAATAATGGTAATATTAACCTTGATATCAATAACAACAATAATAAAACAATAATAATAATAATAGTATTATCATATTATGCATGTAAGTATTTTCTTTTGAAAAAAGTAAAACAAAGTAATAATTATAGCTCCCCAGGTCACATAACACCAGCCCCTCATTGATCCTCCTGCAGGGGGTTTGAATAGTTTTTTATTTTTTATTATTGTTTGGAGTTCCTTCTGACCTGAAACCTTTATGACCGAACAACCTAGATGCGTAGCTAAAAACAGGCGATTAGTTAACAAGACATTAAATATTTCAAGAGTGCGAGGCCTTAACATGCAGTAACTCCCTGTGTCTCCTGGGGGGTTTCCGCAGCACCTGTCAACAGCAGGTATGATGCTCAGTGGCTGAATTCTGCCTGTGGCTATTACAAATCATCTCATCACGATGCACAAACACTTCTGCTGACATGCACACTTTCTAATGGATGACATCCCTTGCAGGCCCTTTGGCTCCTCTGAGATGCTACAGATTACTTTGTGAGGAATGATGTTTCTTTACCCACAAATCAGATTGTACACTGCAGACTTTTTCTTTCCCCTCTTGTCCCCTGAGCGCACACTGCATAGGTTTACCCCTGAGGATACCGGTAGCACAGCTGTGACTTTGGGGAGGATATATTATTACACTTGCAACTTTCATTTAGATTTTGAAATTTGGCATTTTTAACTCAATTTTTCAAGAAGAACTTAAACCAATGACAGGGTGTGCTCACTCACACATTGGCTGCTATACATGTTACATGTTTCATAAATAATATACTGTAGGTTGTAAAATGTTGTGAACTTAATTCTAAAAGAAAACATTTTGAGCTTTTGTGCTTTGGGCAGATCTTTGTTACTTTTCTGTCTGAAAAAGCTGATCTAAAAATGTGATAGAAGCCAAATACATGTGAAAACATAGTGATAGAAGAGAGCGGGAAACTAGTAAGATTGAAATGTATGAATACTTCTGATGTAGTTACCGGAACAGCTACATTTTTTAATTTCTTCGAACACCACGGTCTACATACAGTATAGTGAAGCGGCCGATATGTGTTTTAACAGTGTTGTCGGAGCAGAGTTTATGGACTTATTATTTTGACTCTATCAAGTTTTTGTTGTCATAATGTATTGGTAAATGAGACCCAACATGGAAGCTAACAGCATGGGGTAAACATGCGTGAGTTAATTTAGCCTCCTTTATTGTAGTATTTTTTTAAGTTAATAGTGCATTAAAACACCTTGTCAATAAATCATGTTTAAAACAGTTGGCTGCAGTGGCTTATATGTGAACAAATTCTACCTTCTTTACAAATGTAGCTGGTACGGTTTAAATACAGTTGTGCATTATATATCATCACGTATTGTTGTTAGAATTATTGTGGATTGGAAGTTAGGTGTACCCAGCCTTAAATAGCAAATCCTGGGAGAGCGTATTCCTCCCTACAGTCCATCAAGCACACTGGCTGTTTGTTGGTCCTTGAGGAGTTGCTCAGGGTGGAACAATCACCTCCAGTGGGCACGCATGATGAAGAATATCAGGTAGCACACAATCTGTCATCATCTAAGTCTAAAAGCATCACTGCTTTACAAGACACAAACAACTGAGCTTTTAGAGGACACTTATAGTCGAATTTCAATTGAAGCAAGAGGATATTTGAGGATCAGTAATGTTTGAACTTGCTGTCTCCTGTGTCTCATATTCATTCAAGGCCTCCTTTCCCTCAGGGTTTTCCTCACATGGCCATTTCACATGGGAGTGTATCAGAGGCTTTCTATGACTGCATTAACTTTGGCCTTCAGAAAGAACTCTCTCTACAAAAAAAGACAAAAAGGGTTTGCCCGCAGACCATTTAATCATAAGCCGTAACCCACTTTGGCGTTTGAAGTGCACTTGCCAATGGGATTCAATGCAGTGTGATGGAAAAACCTCTCTGCTGTAGTAAATCACTGGGCTGTTGATTTCTAATCAGCCTGGCTTTTTGTAGTTGCACCAAAACATTGTATATTCTCTGTGTTCAAATGCAGGCCTTCATGAATAGTTGCTTTTCTGGGAAAAGAACGGCACAGACATGCTGCACATAAGAGCTGGAGAATTGGAGAGAATGTTGTCTTTCTGATGTTTCTGTAGCAAAAATATTGAGTCTAAGAATAAACAAATTAACATGATATAAAACTGAAACAACCCTAATCATAGTAGACAATATTTATTCTTTTTTTTTTTTTTGCCCCAGATGTCAATGTCAATGTGAAGGTCAGGTTTAAGTTGTGCATAACTCACAATTCATTCATTCATAATTGATATAATAATAACAGTATTATTAACACTAAAAACAAAATGGTATAACAATAATAATAATGACACTTTTGACAATTTTTCATTTCATTTTTTATTTCTTTCACTTGTTTATTTATTTCAGGAAATGGAACATATAAGTACAAGGTATGCATTTATGTCATATAGTGCAAAAAGGTAAGGATAGAAAGTTAATGTACCCTGTATATTGCATGTAAACAAAATACTTGATTCTGCCTGAAAGGGAGAGGGAAGAAGATAATAACTTGAACATGCAATCAACGTGTAATCCTATAAAGACAAACACAGGACTTAAGGCGGAGCAATAATAATAATGAAATACAAATTATTAAAATTATTAAATGTATCAAAATAAAATACAAACATCTTTTAATTTCTAAATGTCAATCTGTAAAGCACTTAAATTAACTCTACTACCTGCAGATTGATCAAAATCCAGGTTCTAGTGCTCACGTTCACTTGCATTCACTTGCATTGGTTTAAGATTCAAATTTTTTCTATTTATTATTTTTGTCTTTAGGACACAAGTTCAGATAAATGAGCCATAGCCAGGTATTGAACGATATAATTCACAGTATGGTTAGCAAATTCAACACTGAAGTAACTTGTTTTTCTGTTTAGTTTGTCTCAACACAAACAGTCGAGCTTAAGAAACATCTCATGAAAAAGTGAGAGCAGGACATGCTGTCTTCACCTTAAACATGTTTTATGTACCGAGAGTGGATTGGCTGAGTAAGCACTGGCTCTCCCTTTTTCACTGAAAAAGCTTATCTAAAGACAGAGGCTAAAAATACATGCATGTGAAAACTAGTGATAGAACCAAACACTTCTGAGAAAAATGCTTCATGGATTTTATTGTATAGTTTTATTGGTGGTTTTGTAACGTATTCCATCTTAAATGCTGGTCTTAAGAATGCTGTACCTATAGTTATATATATTTTTGATTCCATAAAAAATGAAAAAAATCTGGCTGCTTGTATGAAATAATAAAGATCATGGCACAATCCCCAGCAGACATAGGGCATAACAACCAGAGCAGAGGTGGGGGAAAAACAACAATGTGTTAGCGAGTCAGAGCAGCAGCAGTCACTCCATCACCACTGATTACCAAGCAGGGCGTGATGCTGCACAGCTGGATGACTGTCTATAGAGTACCTGAACTTTATCCTGCTGAGGACTCCAACAAAGCCGAGATATTTGTAAAGGACTAAACCCTCCTGCATGTGAAAATCTGATAAACAAGAATGAAGCGTGACATCACTGTTCCCTCTCATGCAATCACTGCTCCTCCAAACTCCTGCGTTTAAAAGGCATGATTTAGCTCCAAAACTACCCATATAGGTCACACTGATGCTCTGATTGTACAATCTCTGTCTCAGCAGGGTCGAGAAAGAAAAGAAAAAAAAACTTTTATTCATTCTAGACTTGCAATCGATGGGACTTGTCTGTGGAGTGGATCAATAATGCCTCCCTTTGAAATCATCAATCACGACGGTGGTGAATTTAAAAAGCGTAATTAGGAGCAGCGTTCTTAAACATCCTGTATTGATGTCTTCTTTGGCATGGAGAAAGACACCATTCTGCATCATTAACTTTGTATTATCGGCTGATGGAGCCTGCTGCTGCTACTTCC